GCTGCGGTTCGGCAATGTTGCGTTGCTGGAGGTGTCCGGACCGCTTAGGGTCTCAATGACTGGCACCGGCGCAGAAGATTTAACCAAGATGAAAGGCACAACCTCTCTGAACTTGGAGTCTAATGAGTGATTGCGCATATCCCGGCTTCGACCAAAGGCGGGCAAGTTGCCGAGCATCGCTCCGGTGGGGTAGCTTTCCTCGCACACAGGACGACTTCGACATGGAACCCTGTGCACCTTGCCTGGACAGAGAGACTCGACATCAATGAAATGCAAAAGTGAGCGTGGGAGGGTGCCCTGCAAGCTACCACCAGTATCTCAATACTGAACCTTGGCTTCCTTCAACAACTATTGCAACCCCCTTGCCGCTCCCGCTCTCTTGCAGCTGAGCGTCGTAGAGGTGATTGCTTATTCCGGGAACTTGGATCACGAGGGCTTGCGGCTCTGCTGCCTGCCAGGTGTTGATGCTTCGAGCTTTTCGGTTGAGCTTGCAGCCGCACAGTGCAGCTCTGCTCGTCTCTAGAGTCCCGAGTGACATTGCAGCCTCCTCTGGAGGCAATTCTTCTGGATACATCTCCTCGGGAGGATATTCCTCAGGAGGATAGTCCTCAGGAGGATATTCATCGTAGAACTCCTCGGGCGGCATCGCCTGGTGCCAGCTTCGCTCACCGAATTCATGTCGCTCGTGCTGCACGAGGCCAGTGGAACTGTTCCAAATGTGATGCCTACCGCGTGAAAACTAAGTTTTTCTCGTACGTGTGTCAGCTTTCTGCGCATGGGAATCTCCAACCATGCCTCATGCTGCGTCTGGTGTCGTTTTCATTACGCAACAACCTTGCTTCGAACGGCCCTGTCCGTGAGTTGTCATGAGCTCTGCGAGCCTGCACTTCGCCTCCCTCCGCCGCAGCTTCGGCCTTGCCAGAATTGTCAACAGCTCCAGGAAGGACCAGCTTCCCTGCACGATGCCTGCGAGCACCTCACTCTTTGTCCTGGCTGCCTATCACAATAATGTGGGCCTCGGCAGTCTCTGCATCGCCGGAAGCGGAGCTCGCAACAGCCTCCCACCGTAATCGACTACTGCAAAGCGCGTCATGGACGCCGCGACGACAACGACCAAATCAAATACCATTATTGCTAGTCTACTTCCACTACCACGATGGTGACTATTGCGACTATTCCTGCGACTAGCTGCTGCCAGAATTCCTACTTGACAGTTTTGTCTTGAAAGATTCCGAGGCAGATAGGCACGTCATGAAGACGAAAGTCGACTAGAGACAGGGGATATTTGCCCTTGGATGGAATGCCTCGAAACAGTCTGTTCAAAAGCTGAGTCAGGCATGAGACCTAGCTCCACAAACCGAGCGCTGCAGTCCTGGTTTCCGGCTGCGTCGGTTGCTGGGGGAGGCTCCTGTGCAGTAAGAGGCTTGATTCGGAAGGCCGGGGTGAGCCGGTTGCAGTAGTGTCCTTGGCACAGCCTTCTCTCTCATTCATGCAACCATTCGACTAGTACTGCGCAGGTGCTGTCGCGGCTCCTCCCCCGGCTTGGCCGGCATTGCCCCAGGGCCTGCTGACGGGCAAAGCAAGACGAGTGCAAAAGCAGCTTGGTGAGTGCGGGCTTGCCAAGAGTCGGGGTTAGGTCGGTAAGAGTCAGCTGGTCTGGTGATCCTGTGCTCTCCTTGGACTTCAGCTACCCGCCTGGCTGGTCGGGGCCGTATGGGCCTGCCATGAGACGAAGTGAAAGGGTAAATGGCATTTCCCCTCGTTCGCACCCCACCGCAGCTGCAGCCGAGCACGGAAATGAATCATGAGGCTGCCTAGAACGGTTGGCATAAACATACTCTCGCACCTGGCGGCTGAGCTGGTGCTTGCGAAGCACCATAGTCGTAATGACCTGTCGGTCCGAACGATCGACAATTCCCTTCGATGATCTTCGATCCTGCTCTATCACTTCGGGCTACATGTTGGTGAAACATTTGCAGCGAACGATTACAGCGACCGGTACTTCTGCATTTCTGTCGGAAGTCCTTGGCTAAGCGATGATATCGTGCAACGCATGAGGCATGATCGCTCGGGGCCTTCATGCCCGTAGTAGCCGCCCTGTGATCCATAGCCTGCGCTGTGCACTGCGATGCTGCCAGTAGCATAGAAGACTCGTCTCAAGCACTGCTGCCTCTGACATCTGCAACGCATGAGACATGATGGCTCCGGACCTTGACGCGCGTAGTAGCCGCCCTGTGATCCATAGCCTGCGCTGTGCACTGCGATGCTGCCAGTAGCATAGAGGACTCGTCTCAAGCACTGCTGGGAACGGCGTGGCCTGCATTCTGCAACGCATGAGACATGATCGCCCGGGACCTTGGCGCCCGTAGTAGCCGCCCTGTGATCCATAGCCTGTGCAGTGCGCTGTGATGCCCCAGTAGCATTAATAGAAGACTGATCTCAACCACTGCTGGGAACGGCGTGGTCTGCACATATCTAACAACATCGGCGCTTTCAACCTGGTTGCAATGTTCATCTAGCTGTACTAAGGCCCGCAAGAATTGACGATGCCTTGGTATTGTGGCCCCGAAGAGTACTGGCCAGGCCCTGCCATCAAGTCGGACACGGAGACTCAAGCTCAAGCTTCAGATTGCAGACATGACTTTAAAGGCTGGATTGGGAAGTGAAGCAAAGCAACAGCTATTCATAGAAGCCCTTTGTTGCCCAGGAACCGGCACTCGCGCTGGCAAACTCTTGCAGGCTTGTCCTGCCAGGTCACTGAGCTAAGTCTTAGCGCATTTTGCAGTGTTTTGGGTTGTTCTGTTCGAGTTGCTCTTGAACTCTAACGGCTCGCTGCAGCTTTCGAGATGCACTGCCGACGCAGTCTTGCATAGCCCGTCCCGTGAATCAACGATGGTAAACATGAAACGCAGGAAAATGCAGGCCTTAGCCGCGCGCGTGGCGCAGCAGCATGTGCCGTGATCAGCATGTCGGACCGGCACAGCTTGCGCCTCTTTTTTGCTTTTCTGCTGCGAGGCATTGGAGATGGGCTGCTACCTCCTACCCGCCCACTGCTGCTTCTACTTCTACTACGCCCACGACGAGCTCCGCAACCTCTAGTTTGCTGCTATGTCCTATATCGACTACTGCATGCAACATACTGTGTACTGCGAACTACTACTCATGCTGCTACTGCTACTGCTACTGCTACTGCTACTGCTACTGCTACTGCTACTGCTACTACTACTACTACTACCACTACCACTACCACTACCACTACCACCACCACCACCACCACCACTACTACTACTACTACTACTACTACTACTACTACTACTACTACTCCTACAACTACTCATACTAGTACTAGTACCAGTACTACTACTACTACTACTACTACTACTACTGCTACTACTGCTACTACTGCTACTACTACTACGACTACCACAACAACGACTACTTCTACTGCTACTGCTACTGCCACTACTACTACTACTACTACTACTACTACTACTACTACTACTGCTACTACTACTACTACTACTACTACTACTAGTACTAATACCACTAGTACCACCAGTGCCACCGCTACAACGACCACCCCACCACGACCGCCACCTTAACGACTACGGCTGCTGCTGCTGCTGCCATGTCTACCGCGACCACCGCAAGCCTCAGTGTTTCTCCAACAACTGCCGATAATCCTGCTGGCATTCTGGTGCGATAACTTTTGCCAGTCAGAGGCAGCTGCCTGTCACTCTCACTTTTGCCGCTGCGGCACTTAGCCACAGATGACAAGCCAACCCAGTATCGGACAAACAACGAACCCGAGCCAATCTGCCCACCCATTGAAGCTGTCGCAGAATCTGGGGAGTGGTACACTGATACAACTAGGGAATACTTAGGAGCAGCAGCAGGAGGGGGCACCAGCAGCAGCAAAGAGTGGCAGCAATGGTGGTGGTGGTGGTGGTGGTGGTGGTGGCGGTAACAGCAGCATCATTAACATTAGCACTGCAGAGATTTTCAGCATGATGTTAGGATCCGCTGTAAAGGATGCCTGCGACATGCCTGGCTTAACATACAGATCTCGTGAAAGTCCGTGAGCACTCACGCTGCCTGAGACTCAGCACGCCAAGCTCATCGGCTCCTTCGGCAAACATCCAGGTGCGCACCATGGCATTAACCCACGCGGACCCCCGAGAAACTTTGCGGGGCCGGTATGGGCTCAGCAATGCTATCGATTTTTCCGTGGGTTTCGCCCTGCGTTGGTCTGGCGTGTGGGGCTTGTTCGGCTGTGGCTGCACAGCTTTTTGGAAGATACTACGCCAACGTAGATGTGCCGCCAACTGATTCCGTGACGCAGGCGGCTACTGTGCTCCGCTGTCGCCTACGACACACAAGCCATTGGCCTCAAAGCACGAGCAATGGTCCCGATGCACACAAAGATGTTCAAAGGGGGTCTTGCATGTCTAGCAGTAGTGTACAAATATGTCTGGACTGCGAATGGGCAGGGGCGGAAATGCAAGTTGCGTTTGCATGAATCTGCAATCTATCTTTCTCCAAAGCCCGCTTTTTCCTTCGGGGTGTCCCATCTGCAACAGGCAAGACTAAATCAAGCTGCAGTATGCTGCAGGTCTCTACAGCGCAACCGAGCGAAGACTCATGCGGGTGGTTTACAGGTGACTCGTACGGGCTATTTACAGGTGGTACAAAGACTGTTGGGCCGTGAAGAGGCAGGATGCTGCGACTAAATCTTTAATCAAAGAAACACATGCTTTTCGTGAAACAGGGGTGTGCATTTTCACTCCATGGCTAGGCCTGGCATGCTTGCAACATCGGCTTCTTTTTAATTACACGGAGAACGATCGACATGAAGGCACGAACACCCCTCATGTACACATACTTGCTGTAAAAAGCACGAATGAAGTCGTTAAGTGGTTGAGGCTGTACATGATGCGCTGCATTTGCACACTACTTCGAGACTCTGTGCTGCCAAGTTGCTTCGGGAAAATCAAGCCTCGTCAGGGATTCGCATGCGAAGGAAATCCAAACCCGCACTTAGCCCTCCCAACATCCCGTCTTCCCACGAGCCACCCAACCTCCACCATCCGGCTCTGTCGGCACAAGATGACAGCATTGCCATGCGATAGCCGCCAAATCATCTGTGGGCTTAAGAACAGCTGGGTCGGCCGCTGCTGATCGAGATCTTGGAGAATCCCGATGAGCTTCTGCACCTGTGGCGAACATGGCAGTGACATAGCCGAGCTGGGTTGCTCAAGCTACAGTAACCTGGTTCCCGGCCTCTGAACGCACAGCTCGACGGCCTTCTGACTCCTCGTGGAGTCCGGCGGTAACTCGCTCCTGGGAAATAGGATTCTTGCAAGTTTCCAATGGTGAACTGACACGCTCCGACATGTGGCTTGGCCCCGCCAACCGCTGCCCTCAAGCACAAAAGCAATACACATCAAACAAATCTGTAGTGGCGCTTGAAACATAGCGAGCTTGTCTACTTCTAGGTATTACTGCTTATCGCCATCAGTCAACAGGCAACTCCGTGAGTGTGTGTGTGTGTGCGAATGTTTGTGTGCGTGCACTCTTTGTCAAATTTCTGTCGCAAGGTTGCAAATCCTATTCCAACCAACCTCCCTTCGAGGCGCCGGCCCGCTCTGATTACCGCTATCGCCCCCGATGCTCCAAGCACGAGTTCGTGTAAGGTTTTTAGCGCAGCCAACGGAAACAGGCAGTTCCCCCATACCCGCCCTATCCCGCCCTTTTCATGGAGCACTGGACAGTCTCGGGTCCGGCCAGCAGGAAACGCGGAGGACCGGTCAGCTCCGGTACTACGGACCCCGTGCCTCAACCGCTCACATTGGGTCGTCCTGGTCGTGTTCTCTGTTGTCACATCGTGGTTCCACCACTGTTTCACTCACAACCGGCCTCGTCCCTGGCTCTGTACGGCTGCCCTCTTTTCACTCCGGGGGCCAATTGTGCAAGTTTTGCACTTCCGCCTCTTCATGTCTCTCTACTTCTTTCTGTGTCAAAACAATACAGAGTGTGTACGATAAAGAACAGCTCGTCGCTGTGTGGCGCTGTTTACGCATAAACTACAGATATTCCATCTGGTCCAGACATGCAGGAATGCTTCATCCCATCGTCCTGAAGCAGTGTCAGTCTCTGGCCGTCGTGTTCAAAGGCCCGCCAGTCCTTCCGGCTCGAAGGACGCACCAGCATCAATCGCCCGATAACGCTAGGACCATAAAAGTGTGGCTCATCTCATGTAAAACGTCGCTTGCCGTATCGCTCCCCTGCAAGGCTTCCAGCACCGTGTGAGATCTCGGAAATGAGCTCGCTTCGCATCATTGCGTTTCCAGATTCTACGGCAAACGAGTCCTGCACAAACTCACGGACGCGGGTCTCCAGCTCCAAGAAGCGTTTCTGGAGTTCCCGCCGCACCTGGAACGATGTTGCCAGCAAGGCTCAAAGGATCCCAAAGGGACCAGGGATGTCATGGGCGGTGGCTTCTTGTCCAGACTCTAATCACTGAAGCTTCCGACCTTGAGGGTCTCATCCTCTTCGTTGGCCGCTGCTTTCCGCGCGTTGTCCAGCTGGACCGCCACCTTCGGCCGAAATATCTATCACGTGAACTTACAGGTGCACACACACACACACACACTCGAACACCCAGGCATCCCTGGTAGGCTGTTCTCATGAGTGACATCCACGTAGCAATGAGCACAAAACTCAGCTGAGACATCGAAGAGAAAACATTGTGGGAGGTCCCTCAATAGGCTCGGATTTCCTTGCTGCAGTTTAATGGGAAAGAAGCCAAGCAACACCTTGAACGGACCTAATACCTGTACTCGCACTCGGACTCGCACTCGAACTCACCAATGTACAGCGACGATGCGAATCCTGATCATACCATCTTATCTTTCTGCAGGTACGTTTTCACGAGAGGACAGGTGGATGAGTGCGCGGTCTTCGTTGGGCAGGTGCACGCACTCATCTTACCTGCCTCTCCGCTGGCCCCTGCTGAAAAACGAAAACTTGGAAGGACAAGTTAATTGAAAGGAACACTTATTAGGTGTTTCCCCGTTAAAGTTTGGCGGCCCTCACACACACACGCACACATTCACCAAAACAAACTGCCCGATGATTACCGCTTAAATCCTGCTTGTACTGCGGACAAGGAACTAGGTGAGGCTTCTGATTTCAACTGCATCCTTCCAACCAACAGCGAACTGGTGATGCAAAAACATTTTTTCTGGCGTCCAGGGCGTCAGAGAAGCAGCAAAAGCGATGGCTCCGTCGCATCCAGACTGCGGCCAATGGCTGCATCCATGCGAGCCGAGGAAACTACTGGGCCCGCAGAATTTGATACTCCGGCCGAACCGCACCAGGAGTAGGGAGGATCTCAATTCAGACCCGAGGATCCACGTTTCAGCGACTCTACTTCGCACTTAGAGCCTCCTCCGTGTATGCGTTCACTCCTGCGCTTACTGCAATAAAGTCAACCGGAGAGTCCTGCTCAGACAGAGGCTCTGCTGGAATGCGGATCTCTCAAGCAATAGATGCATGGTCTGCAGGTCTGTGGTGCCTTCTGTCAGTGCAACAGTAGCCTCGCTTGCCTAGCTGGGCCTAGCTACTCTCATCCTTCTACAAGAGGGGCGGCTACATGGCTTCAGCACTTTGACCTGCGACCATGGCTGGCCGACTTCGAGTGCCAGCCGGCGGAACGGTCACGGCCTAGAGTGCCGGGTGATGGCCACACGCGGGGCAGCTGGCAGCCTCCAAATGTCCGGCCTCGAAAACGAGCCGCGTAGGCCAGAAGACCGTCAGAAGACACTCTCGCCTGAAGACAACTCATGGCAGGCCCTCATCGGGGATTCTTCGCCCAGCGCTTTCCAACCGGTTTGGGTTTCTGCCTGTATGAGAAACCCCAGGAACAAGGTGCAAGTTTAATTTAAAGTCTCTGACCTTGTGATGCACGCCCGAGACCGTCACAGCTCGATCTCAAAGCTTGAAACGCTGTACATGTGCTTGCTGATGCATCTGCAAGTGGCAGGTTTCGAAACGTCCTGCTGATGAGCGGCGACGCAGAACAAGGACGACTTCTTCCACAGGCTCGCGTTGGAGAGGACATATCGTCGTACATCGGTAGACCTAGAAACTAGAAAGAGCATTTAAGTGCAGCTTTGACATCGGCAATGTCATGCACATTGGTCCAACCTCACTCCTACAGGAAGTGTCTGAGTGGTCCTACAAAAGAGAACATGCTGTTCTCCTACTGCCTACCATGATACAAAATGCTTTCCCCTTGCAGACATGCTGGCCGGCTGAAGTGTGGCCGTCGCTTCGAAAAGCTCCTGCCTGCTCTGCGCAAGCTTACAGAGCAAGCGCAGTATCAGAGCGGCTCCAGGACAAACAACCAAATGCCCGACGCACAGCAAGCCTCCATAATGTATTGAACCTAGCTGCCCAAAATCTGCAGCTTGTGCTCTATGCACCTCCTTCGGCTGCTGTGAGAGTTTCGGCCTGGCGAGTGCTCCGCATGCCGCAATTCAATGTGGAAACTCTTCCATGATGTGCCTCTTTGGGCACGGTAGTTGCTCGTGACCTCGAAAATGCGGAAGCAAACAGCCGTCTGCCCAGGCTACTGTCGCGACGTGCTGCACGTGCTTGGAGCCCTGCAACATCTCGCTGGGTGTCGTCTCTCGGCTCTCTGCGGCCTCAACATTGCTTGCTAGAGCCCATTAGCAAGCCCAGCACAAGCTAGGGAGACTCCTGCAACACCTAGTGTTTTGCGTTCTTGCTATCGTCAGTCAATGCTTGGTGCCCGATGCATTAGGAAACCAGCGGCGTCGCTGAGCGCTGGAGACTCCCAACAACAAGAGGTGAGTGCTTACTGCTACAGCGGACTGGCCTTGCATCATCTCAAGCCCCTGCCCATATCTATGTGCAGGATCCAGTACAAAGTTGCCGCATCAAGGCTGCAACCAACAGCTTGGCTAGAGTTTCAGTATAGGGCCGTCGGAATTTCTCGAAGACTGTAGCCCGCACCTTCTCGCCTGAAAGTCAAGGACTGAATCAACTCACCGAGTCTCCTTGCACGCAACTACACAGTTGCCGCATGAACTGCATGGACGGTCATGAGTCATAAATGCAACAGAATCGGGTGTACCTGATTCTGCTGCCATGACCTGATTTCATGTGTCATGTTACGCATCGACATATTGTCCGATGGTGTTTGCAGGCGCCCGCACTTCAGCTTGGACAGCCTTCGGTGCGTGCCCAAAGCCCCCAAGTGAACAAATCCCGTGATGTTCTGAGGGCTTGGCAGCTGCGGCCCCTGTCTAAGGCGGAAAGTGGCATGTGCCATGGCGACATCGTGCAGTGCAGGGTGTGACATCAGTGCAAGGCCATGAGACATAGGAGAGTGGATCAAATTTGTGCCGGCCTTTCGGAAGGCGGCAAGTCCTGCTCAGGCGAACAAAAACTGGCAAGCCGACCGGATACGAGCCATTCGACTCTACCTGGCTCAAACTACACAGCAGTCCTGAAAGGGCGCTCACCCAAGTAGTCCAGTATTTGTTCCCACAACCCCGGCGCCAACGTGACCCTGGCAATTGGCTTGTCGTGCAAGGGATGTTCGACGGTGTCCGAGTGGGATATGATTCTCTGGGTGGGTGGCTTCTTGCCTATGCTCTCAAGTTGTAACCTCTATCTACTCCACGATTGGAGTCTACAACAGCACGAGCAGCAACCTCCAGCCCAGTAGTGAATGAGTAACAGAACATGCTTGCAGCAGCACCCGAACCTCGCAGGAAGCCGGCAAAAGGCTTCTACCAGTAGAAGCAGGCTCACAGCCCCCGAAGCCCGAAGTGGAAGACCGGACGGAGTCGCCGGTTGCACATCTGGCACAGTGCAGACACCAAGCGCCTCGCAGTAATTTGTCTGGTGAACGTTTCTGCTCGGGTAGGATTGTTGTCGCAAGCCTGAAGTCTGCCACACTTTGAACCATCTCAAGCAGAACGATTCTGCATTCCCAGCCGCTGCGTCGTTGCTTGAAAGATGTTGACAGAGAGAGACAGAGACCAGCCGTCTTCCGACTACGAGTGCAGAATTGACCCGGCCCTCGGCGGTGATAGACAAAGAGCTGGAGCGGAAGCTGGTACCTGAAGCTCGGGGTGCCGAGGTCATAGGGAACTTGCATTCTCTGCTTCATCAAGATCGAAATTCCTGTTCATGCCATTTCCTTGAGCGGTCTGGAAGGAATGATCCCTAATGCCTGTCCTTCTTTCGGGGGAGCTTGTGCAAGCCAAGGCTGAAACAAAGAATTCACATGAGGTCATTCATTCGGAAAGCAAAGGCGATCCCTTGATGTAGCCAGGATGGCACCCAACAGCGACGTTCCAGTTCCTTTGATTGGTTGCATTCATTGCCTTTGAATCTTAGTTTCTCATGTTCTCACGCGTGTGGAGACTACAGAGGTAACGAAACTAGTAGGGCTACGGAAAAACACTCGGTTACTCAGAACAGCACAGCCCTGCCGGCCCCTGCATTTTTCGACCTTCACACGGCGAAGGCCGCCTCTATGTTCCGGCGCATCTCCTCCGGTTGCAGGATGTGAAGAGCGAGCTCTTTAAAGTCACATGGCGGGTCGCGGTCCTCGGTGGGGTCTCCAGGCAGGCCCTCCTTCGGCAGCTCGCCTGGCCGCTCGGCCACCGTGCAGAGGCTGTCTTGTGCAGCCTGCGGGCTCAAATGCACTCAAAGGCGAAGCACCGAGTAGGCCCCGACTGAATCAGACAAATCCCCAAACCGAGCCTTGAGGAGAAGCTTGTGGAGCGACTCAGTCCCTCCATGTGCGACCCACAAAGTGTGCGTGAGTCGACTCCTCGCTGTGCGGATGCCGGAGTCCTACGTCCTACGCGGGAATTTATTGCTAACCGTCCTCTTGGATTTGCGGTCTATTGCAGTCCACACATGACGTGAGCTTTTGCAAGGAGACTCCTGGATCTGGCCTTGGCACGATTTTGGGTGGGTGGAGGTGGCAACGGCGACGGAGTCTTGAAGTTGTACTTCTTCGGAGGAGCGAGAAAGAACGGTTGCAGGGTGGATGGCAGTGTCCGCGTGGTCTGCACGAAGAGATCTCGGAAGATCTCTTTCACCGGCAGGATTAAGAACCAGGGCCTTTCAGTCTTGACCACGAACTCCAAGATGAAAGAGAAGTGCTTCTCTGCTGAAAAGGGCGGGTTAGTCACAAGCACGTCAAACTTTGGAACGTGCTGCTCTTCACAGACCCTATAGAAATCCTCATTCTCGTTGTATACACTTTCGAAACCCAGCCGTGCAAGGCGCTGCTTGACGCCGCCCTGGCAGTAGTATGGGTCGTAGATCTGCAGATGCTTAGATGCCACCCTCCAGTGCTGGTCTGGAAACTTTGCAGTGGCAATTTCTCGGAGCAGAGGCGTGATGTGCCGGTAAGCAATGCCTGGGGTCTCGCAGTGGTCTCCCAAGTCAGCTTCGAAAGCAAATGGCTCAAGCTCCCTTTTCTTGGGTCTCGCAAACTGCCGGTTCTCAGCACCAAGATCTCTATTCCCAGAGCTTGTCGCAAACCGACACGAGCCTGGGTATCCCATCAGACTTTCGCCACAAAAGCAGTATTGTCCGAGCTCGGCAGCAGCGCAGGACAGCAGCGTGACAAGCCCAATTGCACGGCCTGCGCCCCGTCCTGTTTTCGAACTGCGCAAGCCCACTGCACACATGTGGCAACACAACAACCAACACTGAGGAGCTGCCCGGCCGACCCATGTGCTGACTTTGAGAAAGTTGTTGCTGCGGGCACATCTTGCTTTGCTCGGACACGGCTCTTCAGGCCGTCAGCATAGGTCTTCGGTCCACAAAAAGAAAGGAAATGACACCAAGCACTCTCCATTACCAGGTCAGCTGGAAAAGTGCCGCAACATATCACGACATTACCTGACAAAAGTTGGCAGCACAGCGCAGAGGTGGCTGGGTCACTGAAGCTTGAAGAGCGGGTTCCGCGAGTTACGATGCCGGCCGCGGCCTCAGGCTTGCTTCCAAGTGGTCTGGCTTCGATGCAGCATTCGCTAAGCGACTGTAGCTCGGACCTGATAATTTGACTCTGATCCGACACCATTGGAAAAATCAAGGGGGGCAAAATGGAAAAGGCTGCTACAGTACCCTGAGATTCAGCATCATGTGACATCATGTGACATGAAGTCAAGCAAGCGGTCCTCTGTGCAGATGTATATTAGTATATTAATATGCACATGCGTCCACACATGAGCTGTGTTCTTTATTCATCCCCTATCCCTACCACGCAGAAACCCTTTCGTGCAACCCTTCCACGCCTCGACGCGTTGGCATGTTTCTGAGACATTGCGATTGTGATCAAGACCTTGCGCCCCGTCGGTCCGCACGGCCAAACAAGTCACCTTTGGAGGCGTCAAAGAGACAAGCCTCGTGAAGCTGTGCATTGCACGTCACTGCCTGCACAAGCTATACGCAGTAATACAGACGTACAAATAACACGCTTTCAGTACAGGTTGTGCTGCCCATCACTGCAGCAAGAGCTATAAAGCCAGAGCAAACGATGCTCCGTCACTAAGCAAACCGATGCTGGGTGAGCCCAGCACGACAAAACTCGAAAAGACGGAGGACGAGGCCTCCAGACTCAGAAGAAGAGGATGCACGAACTCAGGAGGACTGGCCGCCAGCAGCCAGTGAAGGGTCAGCGCCACCGAAGTCAGAGCCCAGAGGCGGCACCACAGCCCCATCATCGGGAGCCCGCTCACGGGGACGAAGTCCATGCCGACGGAGCTCACGATGGAGAGCCTCACCAGAAGCAGCAGAAGCCTGAATGGCACGAAGTTCCCAAGACCTGGCATCATTGCGATGCAGCCACCAGGCCTCGATGGCGCCACCAGAGAACCTGCGAAGGCGGCATGCTCCAGCAGCCTCGTCGGCGGAGGCGTTGAGCTTGCGGAGAAGGTCGCCACAGAGGCCAGGAGGAGCATGCCATCCTGGTCGCTTCCCGTGGCTTGGGACCCAAACACACGTGACGGCCACTCCATGACCACGAAGAGCCCGAAGAGAAGCCTTGATCGAGTCAACAATCTTCAGGTAGTAGCAAAAGCTGTCACCTTTCTGCAGAACGAGAGTAAGGGCCGACTGGCAGTCGAGGACAAAGACAACACGTCGAGCCCACAAGGAGCGAGCAGCAACTTTAAGAAGCGCCTTGGCAGCGAAGTCAAAGCCGAGGAGCTCCTGCTTGAAGGGCGACTGGTCTTCATCGGCCGTGCCCAAAGCACACACGAAGTCGCCCGGGTGAACTGCCACAGCGAAGGCGCCGACTTTTTTGTCCTCGGAGCCGTCGGTTGCGACGAAGAGAACCGCAGGGTCCAGGGAGAGCTGGGTGTCAATGGCCTCAACGAGGTCGTCAAAGCACTCCTGCGGAGCAACAGCTGGTGGAGGCGGAGGTTGTTCCGGGGCCCCCCGAAGGAGGAGTCTTTCTTCGCACCTGTCGACCGGCAACTGCAGACCCTCCCGAAGAGTGGCAGTTTTCTCACAGTTCCACAAAAGATGGGCCCTAGAAGGAGCCCGAAGACCACACAGGCAGCGCCAGCGATCATGGGTGGCATCAAAGTTGCCCCCAGCATTGAAATGCCAGCACGAGCTGCCCGCACCCAAAGCCGAAAGAGTGACACTGCGGAGGCCCATGGAGATCGCTGTGTGGAGGCCATCAAAATAGTAGTCCTGATGCCTCCCAGGCGCTGGCAGATCAAGGCCAACCGCAAGGCTTTCGTCGTCGCGATGGAGTCTGCGTTGAACTCGGCCAGTGCGGGCAACATACAGTTGCCTAAAGTGCTGCACGAGCCAATCTTTCACAACACAAAAACCATCAATGCCCGGTCGGAGAGTGCGCACCCGGCCAGATCGGTCAGTTCTGCACACCTCAGTTGAAGCAAAATCAACCTTCCAATCAAGCTTCCGGAGAACCTCAGGGAGTTCCGGTAGCATGGTCCTCCATCGAAAATGGGCCTCACTTAAAGCAACAGTGTCGAGCCAACGAGGTTGTTGGATGCTGGCCTTCCATAGAACACGAAGGGCGCCGAGGTCGCATGCAAAGTCCGGTTGCAGGTTCCAGCCAATTGCCTCATAAAGGCACACCTTCGCAAACCCAGCCGTGAAGCCATGGTTGAAAACGTTCTCAATGTCAGCTTTGATGGCGGTCAGGTCGTCACGGTCACACCTCGCAAAGCCGGAGGCCCACGCAAAAGGCGGGACTACCAACGAGGCCAGCAAGAACTTTTGGTGATCAGTGTTACGCGTACACCACCCAAGAAGCCTGGCACGAAGGATAGCCTTCCGAGCATGATATTTCAGGAGAGTCCACTCACCCCGAAAAGTAGCCCTGACTCCAAGGATCTCGAGGTCGGGCATCACCTGGAACTCAAGCTCAGCAGCTAGGGCCCGGAGTTCGGGACCTAGAGTTGGGGCCACGACGGAGCATTTGTCAACCGAGAGTCGCAAACCAAAGGCACGATCATAGGCAGAGGACCTTGCCATGGCATCCCGAAGGGAGTCTGTCGGAGCCCCAGCCTTGGCCCAGACCGTGCGGTCATCGATGTAAGCCAAAGCGCCGAGGGAGCGCGAAGAATTGCCGATCACAAAGGTAGACCAAAGGTACGAAAGTAAAGCCGCAATGACAGGAGACAGGGGGCAGCCCTGAGCGATCCCTGAAGAAACACTGCTCCAGGAAGGGTTGAGGGATCCCGACAAAGAGAAGATTCTCTCGGCGCCGTTGTAGAAGTCGGTCAACACCGCAAGCACCGGCTGAGGGAAGCGCATATGGGTAAGAGCCCGCTGCATAGCACCGATGTGGATGCTGTCGAAGTAGCTTTTGATGTCGGATTGGATGAACGCCACGGCACCATCGGTCATGGCCTTTCGGATCTGCATAAGGGCGGCCTGGACACTCGTCCCAGGAAGGCCGCCAGCAGCAGTATGGTCTGCCCAGCTAGCCACCCATGGGCCCAGTTGGGTCTGAATGACCCTGGCCCCAGCCCTCCAAAGACTGCACAACAAAGTGATCGGTCGGGTTCGTCTGCGCTTTTTCCACAGAAGGGCGACCCGGGCCTTGCGCCATTGGGCAGGAACCTTGCCGGTAGCAAGAATCCGGTTCCAGAGTGCGGCGGCCCAGCGAAACCAAGCAATCGGGAGCTGCAAAAGGTCCGAGGGAAGCCAACCGTCGGCTCCACCCGCCTTGCCACGCATCACAGAAGTCGCACGCATCAGAGCCTCGGCTTCGATGACAAGGTGAAGGTCCTGTGCAGGAGGGCGAGGGATTTCGCTCACAAGCTCAAAGCAGCCAGCATGAGACCGTGTGGCATGAAGGTTCTCGCCGTCATTCTGCAAGCCTGGGAGTTCAAGCTCAGGAGAGGATATCTCGGGCCCTTTCGGGCACTCTCGACCTACACCTTTGCCATCGCTCCCAGCACTGCAGGCAATAGCAAAGTCGAAGTCGAAATCACAGCAATCATCATGGCAAGCCAGTCCTGCCTGAAACACAGAGGCCGGAGAGGATATCTCGGGCCCTTGCGGGTACTCTCGACCTACTCCGTCACCGCCGGTCCCATCCCAGCAGTAAGCAGCAGAGTCGCAGCTGAAGCCTCTTAAGTCACAGTCCACTCCTTCGCCACCAGCCTCAGCGCGGCAGCCAAAAGCGCAGTCACCTTCGTTCCCAGCCTCGTTCCCTGCCAAAGTGCCTGGAACATTGCTGGAGCTGTTGCCCTCCTCAGAGTGAACAGATGTCACGGTGTCACTCTGAGCCTCATTTGTTTCTGCAACCTTAGAATGCACAGCATGCCACAGCGGGCTCAAAGTCCAGCTGTTCTGCCATGCGCGTCGTGATGCCTGGACCCACAAGTCGAGGCCATAAGGGCTCCTAGGGAGCCTTTGCTTCCAGGCAGAAAGTTGCCTGGCCCTGGTGTCACTTGCTTTCAGAAGCTTCCCACCATCACCCACAACAGCGGTGAAGCACAAAGCCGGTTCCTGCAAGCCCTGACCTTTCTCATTCTCGCCCCAGAGTCCGAAAAAGGTAAGTTCCTGCAGCCTTGCCAAGGGTCCCCCCAACAAGTCACTTTCCAAAATGTCATGACACACAGGTGGTCTCCTTGCCCCAGAAGAGGCCGGAGCCATGGCGCACACGACGCTAAGGAACGCTCTGCCGCTGGTGGGTCAGCGCCCGCCCTGGACCGCGCGGAGGTGGTTCCTTCTGAATGAGCCAGAGCTTCTGAGACATTGCATGTTGTCCCTTCCACGCACCCTTCCACGGACAGTTTTGCAAGCGACTCTTCCGCAAGAGCCACTACACCTCTTACACATTTGCGGCTTATGTAGTCGTTGCTGCCACGCCCTTCCGAGCGCACAATCCCAGAGAGATTTCCGGATCGAGTGCTGCTCGCAGGTATATACATATGCTGCATTCTATGATCCTACTCCATCTTTTCCCTCTTGCTGCTGGGGCCACTGGCCGACCACGGAGCCGCCGCCCGCCACGCCCGGTGCCCAGTCGCTGCCTGGGGGCTCGACTTAGATATTGGTCTATCCAGAAGTGTCAGATTTTGCAAATGGGTCCACTGTGCAACAAGGTCGAACGGAACTCGGGACTGAGAAGGATCTTTTCAGGGAGTGAACATCCTGAGGCTGCATCACACAGGCCAGGAAGATGTGAACGAAGGGTCCTCCCGAATTCGAGCTCGGGCTGTGAGCATGAAGTGCAAGCAAGTGTCATCCAGTTTCGATCGGGCCCCCAACCAGCTGCCCAAATGTCTCAGAGCGGAAGATAATGCAATCGCCATCGGACGGCAGCCTCCCAAGGTGCAGCAGCTCGGCAGCAGGGCTGAGCAAGATCTCCAACAGAGCCGCTGAGCGCGGAGTGACAAGATAGAAAGACACACATCTTATCTTGTCTGGTCTCTCTGCAGTCTATACTCTCGTGCTCAAGCAAGGATGCAGAAGAACAGCCACTGCAGTTTTCTTCGGTGCTCTTGTGCATGCTGCTCCATGGCCTGCGATTGACAAAACCGCCGTCTTCCGATTCCTCGTCGAGAGACCTAGGCCAAGGCTGAACTCCGAAACTGGAAATCGCATCGGCGCAATGGGCCCGCGCAGGCGCGCTGCCGTCTCATCGAAACCCAGGTCGCCCAGCTGCAGCCTTGAATCCAAGAGCTTCTTGCAGAGGCCGAAACTGCACACGAAAAAACGATGCTATGATGTAAGTTCCGATGTGTGTTCAAATGCTGGTCGGTTGGGCGCCGCGCTCAAACTTGGTCTCGGAACGAAGGTCCTGCCGAGAGGGAACGGGACCAAGTGCTGCTCTCCATCTTCCATCGTGTCGCACGTTCTTCGTGCGGCCTCCCACTCCACCTCTGCGTCTCGCACCAGCACCTTGGCGGCCACGATGTCGGTGGATCTGGTAGTCTGTGTACAGCATCACGTAGCTAAAGGTTTGTTCTTAGAGCCGGCTTGTTTCCTGGCCTGGTGGGTTTTTTTTGTCGCATCGTGTACCGCACTTCACAAACTGCAAGCTCCAGGCATACCGATACTCCAACTTCTCGTCCTTGCATGGCGAATTCAGCAGCACTGGCCTGCCATCAGTTGTAGAAACAAGCCATTCACAAGAAAAACCAGCAGGTCGGGACGGGTTGAGGGTCACGGAGACACATAGTGCAACCATGCAGGGCTCACAGTGGTACCTGCCAAAGTGGAAACAGCGCTGCCTTGAGAGGCGAAGCTCGAGAAGACCGAGAAGCTTTGACATCGCCAGGTGGGGCCCCGAGCAGTGGTTTGCAGCTGCGCGAAGCTGCGCTCTGGCTGCCTCGGCATTACAGCCGTAGGTCACTAATCACCAAACTCTTTTAATAAAAACCGTCCGCGAGTAGTCTGCCAAAAATCATCACGAGAAGCAAACTCCTGTGACGAATCGAAGTTTGAGCAAAAGCAGTGGTTTTTCTCGCATTCGAGAATACCTCAAATGCAGATGTGCTCTGGGTTGTTGCAGCCGAACAACTCCTGAGTTGAGTCTATGGTGACAGTCAGGTACAAGACTCAGGAGCTGTGTTTGCATCGAATCTCGGAAAGCTTCGCAGTCCAATAAGAGCAAGCGCAAGCCCAGTAATCTATCCTGAAACCATCTACCCAGAACACCGTGCCGAAGACGGTCCCTTAGCACCTGGCCAACAGCCAAGTGCTGCATCTGCACCTGTGACCAGATTGATTCGCCCTGGTCCGTCAGCCTATCAGCAGAACGCTGGGCTGCGAGCCGACGACTTTCAGGAGGTCTCCGGGCCTCCACCAAAAGCAAAGGCAAAGAAAGCAGATCCCGAGCAAAGAGCGGCCTTGCGGAGCTGCAGTAGCATTGGAACCAGAGTTCCACCGGCATGGCACGCTTTTGAATCCGAGTCACAAGCCGTCTTTAGCTGAGCTGATCGAGGGTAACTCATCCAAGTAGTGACTGAGACTCTGTGCTACACGTAGACTTCGGCCACTGTTGGCTCGGAGCAACAAATGTACGGAGAGTAAAGCTGTAAACATCGTTTGCCTGCATTAACTGATTGATTGATTGAGCGCGTGCGCTTGTCTGGATGCCAAATTGACTGCTGCTGAGCTTTCGATTTTGGCAATTTGCTCACGCCACCTGGTGCTGTGAGGAGTGGCAGCACCGACGATCGAAAGGCATTGCAGCTTGTCCCCTGCTTTCATTCACACGATTGGCTGTATGATCCGACCCTCCATGCCTGCTCATGCATCATGCTACCTCCCCATACATGAGAACCAGTACCATGGCGAATGCTACGACTGCCACGATTGATGATGACGATGATGAGGAGGACAAGCAGCTTCAACTGCTTGCTATGGAATTCATGTTACTTTGATGATACCTATGGCTACCCAGAGACGACTGCTGACTTCAACATCTCAGGACCAAGCCTGGGCTGCGTTGGCCTGGGCCTGCCCCACGATCCCAGTCACAGGAACGCAGAAGAGCTGGTTATCAGTTGCCTAGCCTGAACCGAAGACTTCCGTCACCTCCCTGGTGGGAACAAAACTTGCAACGATCAAGGAACGGGCGCTGTAGGTCAAAGGAGAGAATAAGCGTAGCGTATCTTTTCACTGCATGCTGTTGCTTGAAGCACATGCAAGCAGCGAGGTCGTTCATTTACAGGTCATGGCAACATCTTGTGCTATCCGCTTTGCGACTTCCACACCGATGTTCGTCCCTGCGGAACTATGAACCACGAATTCGCGACATCGCTTTGAAGCCACCGAAGGCATCGGAAATTCCTTTGAGTTCGTAGCCGCCAGGTTTGTCGGTCTTCTTAGGCTCTCACAATCACCTTTGCGAATACATGAAAACATTGCCATTCGTCCCACCTTCTCAAGCTGCGCTTTGGCTGCCCACTCAGCTGCTGCTGCCTCGCGAAGCTTCGGGAAGGTTGCAAGGAACCTACAGGCGACTGAAATTGTGGGCATGCGGTGACGAAAATATCCCGAAGCGCCCGTAAATGCAGCCCAATCAGGAATGTCTCTCGATCATTGTCGAAAGGAAGATTTTCTGGAGGACTCAACCCGCACCATGCTCTCCGCCCTCCTCCGCAGCGATGGTCGCCAGCTCGCGCTGGGAGGCCCGTGCCGCATCAGCTGCTGCCTTCGGCAGGAACTACTCTCATTCGTGCCAAAGCTCCGGACCCTGAACTTGGCCGAGTTCGCGGCCCGAGCATCCAGATGCCGCTGTGCATGGCCCTGGCAGGTGTCGAGATGCGGGCAGACCGAGTACCACTTGCTCGCTGCGGAGACCTCCACATCCTCGAGGATTGCGATCTCCTTCTGAAGGTCGCCCTGAGAGGTTCTGACCCGTGATGCTTGACACTCGACTGCGGCCAAACTGTGCCACCTGCAGATCATGACGACCCTCTTCAAATCCCAACTACCCGGAACCGGCAACCTCAAACACTACACTAAAGCCCGAAACCCGCCGGCAGGTCCTCCTCGGTAGCTGATTGGTGCTCAAGGCTTTGCGCCTCTCGTCGCCTTGGAATTCACAGGATTCCTATGAACTACCTTCGATGTGATTTCAATCTAAGGATATGCAAGGATGCACTTCAGCGGCCCGCTCGAAGCTTATGCACATGGCTTGTGACTGCGGTTTCATCGTGGATACAACGATCGTTTGGGATTGCTTGGCTCCCGGGCTGCTGGTCCAACTTCGAGGCGGCCGTCTCGGCATGGTCTAGGCACTCCTACAGCAAGACAACTTCAGGCAGAATCGCCGGTGAATCTCCGGTCCTGCAGCCACCTCTTCTCTCTTTGCCAGAGCCTCTCCTTCCTGGCCGGGAGATAAGAAGCTCCTTCTCAGTGTGTCAGAGTCAGAAAGAGGCCCGGGCTCATCGCGCAGCTTCTTGAAGGAGCGGAAGTTCTCGTTTTCCCGAAACTCCTCTCACACAAACTTCTGCTTTTTCTTGCCATGGCTTGCCCATGTCTGCCTCTTCGGCTGCGGAATCCCAAGTCGGAGTTTCTGCATCCGGCGCGATGGCCTGAAAGCCAGGTCGAAATGACTTCCTCTTCGAATGCCTGACCCAATCTTCTTTACATTACCATCCAAAAAGCGAAACTGAGGGCTTCCGCCCGCCCCCCCAACCCCCCAGGGGCTGCAGTGTGATAGTGGGGGGGGGCGGCGGGACGCGAGCAGGCCACACCGAGTCGCATTGCCGCAAAGCTCACCATCCTTGCAAATCTTGGTCCCGAGAAGGTAGGATTAGTAGATCCATCAAAGGTAATGGTACATAATTGACAGAAGGGTTCTGCATGCGCTTGTATCACAGCGCAACAGGTTGCTGTCGTGATTGTATGGATTCCGATTCGAGCAGGAGGTGGCCACAGCAAGACTTCCACAGGCCAGAAGGCCACTAACACGCCTCGCGGAAGCTGGACGGAGCCATCACAGCGTCAGATTCCTCCTTAGCCGAAATGCAACACAGGTACCGGTTTTGCGGCCAACCGTGTCCTGTCCTGTGGTGCTATGTGTTTGCACGGCTGCTGTTGAGCAGGCAGAATAGGATCTCTTTTCATCTCTGAAGAACCCAGCCTCGCTGGCATTGCTTGCTGAGCGCCTCTGCCATTCCAGATGCGACTAAGGCGGGCAGGGAACTCTGTATCCAACACTTCAGGGTCTCCAAGCAGTTGCTCTTCTTCCTACTGTCACTACCAGTATGATCTGTTGATGTGATATCTGCGAGATGCTCCTAGTCTCTTAGTGACCTTGTGTTCTTTGCTTTGAGAGCGAATGATGGGCAAAAATGGGCAAAGCCAAGAGCCTCATCCTGCCCGGCTTGGCGGGCACCAGCCGCGCCCCGAGGCTCCGCAGCTTCTCCACCTCCCAGAAGGATTCACCCGAGCTCTCAAAGAATGCACAGTTGCCAGCTCTCGGCCCGCATGGCGCCGGCACGTCCGGGAACAAACGTGCCGAATGATGTGACAGCCTCTGCACTTCGCCCACATGAGTGAGGGCTCCCAAACTGCTAGCTGTCACGCCCTTATCCTCGAACACACGCACACACATGCAAAACTCATGCTTACTTATGTTACCTGTTTCTGCCTGGTCCAGCTGTCTGTTTTTTGCATCTGTGCGTATGTGTCTAACTGCATTTTGTAGCACAAATACATTTCCACAATTCTGACATTTCCCAAACTTCCGAGTCCCCCGAGCGAGACCACAATGTTGGACTGAGATAGGTTTGGCAATTCTGAAATCGCGAAACTTGGCATGAGACGTTGTGGATTTCGAGAGCTTTGCAAAACTTCGGAAATCCTGAAATTCAGAAGTGGGGGTGCTGTAAGTACTACAAAACTTCATGCTTGGCACTTTGGTGCATTTCGAAAATCATTGCCCCTTAGTTTACAGCTACACTGGTTTTACACTCCTAAACTATCGAGCACTCCAAAACCTGGATCTCAGGAGCATGACTCAACTACTTCGAGTCCGTGGCCTCGCCGGCACTCATGACAAGCCTGAGCATGACAACACATGGGAGCAATAGGAAGGTCAGAAGCCGCGGGATGTGTAAGGCAAAAGCTCAGAGTTCAGGGAGGACTTCAGCACCTCCAGCTCCTGGCCTGACGCCATTGTCGCACTTTGCTCTTTACGCGCCTTTTGAAAGCACCATATTTTCCCTGAAAGGATGCCCGCCTGCAGTCTACACCATGCCCTCAAGTCTCGCCCAAAAACCCTAAGCTTCTCGACGCTGCTAAGCTCGATGCTGACGTCTTCTAGTGCCCGCAGAGCCGTAGCCGCTTCGGCAGCAGCGCTGCGGAGGGCAGCTATTCTGCGCTCGCAGCGGTCCGCCTGTTCTACATTTTGGGGCATCGAGGGTCTGAAATTTAATAGCAATCGCATACCAGCCACAACAATTAGGAAGCCATCTCATGGTCGGCGAGGGGAATGGCACTTCAACCCATCAGATGCCGTGCCTCGAGACCCAGTGCGGAGCGGCGCGCTGCTGCGTCCGCACGCTGGGTCGCCACGTCAACGAGGCGCGACTGACAAGTGGCTGTGTCTGGGCTGCAGATCTCACAACCCTTTGCTGAATTTTCTTGAATACTTGTCGCGCAGGCCTGGTGCTGCTGTAGTTTTGCAGGGACCTGGTTGCAGAAATCCGCCAGCTCTGCCTGCCCCAGATGATTGCTACAGAGACACAGGAGCGACCTGCCGCCATCAATACTCGTGCGGTCGTGTGGATTCAAACCTACCCCCACATGACTCTCCGTCAAAATTCCTTGCTACAAAGATCTACAAAGCAGGCTATACCCGGGTCGGGTCCGCAGGATGTCTAAAGCCCTGCAGGCCTCTTTGGAGCTGAGCTCGGCTGCATTTTTTTCTGCCTGCGAGCCGTGCCGAAGGCCGAAGCTGTCTTCGTCCCAGGCCTAGGCCGGTGCTCCGGAGGGGCCTCCTTGACCTTTGTGGCGGAGCTCTGGTTCCAGGCCTGTGCGCCGCAGTCGACAGATTCAAGGGCGACACCAGCGACGACGAGAGGCGAGTGCAGGGCACAGCCTGCGCCTCGCGAAGCTTCGCTGACAGCTGCTCCACCTTTCGCTGTCAGGTCATGCTAGCAGCCATCAAGTCGCCCCGCAGGCAGGCTGAAGGCTGAATACGAGAGCCAGTGCCAGTGAATCCGGCTCAGTGCGACATCAACAAGGCTGCACGCCTCGCCGACGCTTTGCCTTTCCAGCTCCTGAGGTCTGAGGCAAGGCATGCAAGGCTCGAGTGAGGGCACCGGTGCCGGCATTGACGTCTGCTGACTCTGTTTGTCTTGTCGCCACAATCCGAAAACTCGTCCTCTGGACCAGGCCTCGCAGTGGGAAAGCTCTGCATGGACCTCCGTGCTCCTGAAGGCGGCACAGGCGAGGAAAGCTTTCAGCAGGCGCCTGCAGGTCTTCGATTCTGAACTATTTAGATATCTTGAGAGCGTGTTTCTGTTTGTCTTTGAGGGCTTAGGCAAAGAAGCATGCCTGCTGCTATGCTAACATGAGGACGTCTTCATCCGATTCAACCTTGCATGCAACCTGTCAGAAGTTTGAGCTTTGCGCACGCAGCACACGATATTTCGATGCATGGAGCGTCTCATGCCTCCTCTGAAAAAGAAGACAAGTTCGTACCGGCCTTGTTGTGTCTCCAGCCATGGCATGCAGACTCCGGCAGAGCTCCTGCGCATTCACCGCATCTTGGATGTAGTTTGGAGTGGTGGAGCTGGAGAGACATCTACCACATCAAGATGTTTTCGATCAGAGCATCATGGCAAATGCCCGCACTTTCCCGGTAAACAACCACCACCTGCAGCGACGAATTTCAGTTCTAATCTTTGTGGAAACCGCAGAAGTTAAGCGCGGCGGTCAGTCTCATGGCTTTGGCTTGAAGGTTCAAAGTGCTCGTCTGCTCGTGTCCCGGGTCGTCCTGGACGTCCTGACCCAAGATGCCTGGCAGGCTTCTTTGCAGGCATGCACAGTTCCCGCAGTTTTTGCATTCGATCTCGGCTTTCTCCAATAAATGCCAGAAGGGCCGTACTTGACTCGCCGCTGGTCAAGGCTGACCACCATGCCCTGACAGCTTCAACATCAATCCGAGTCTAGAGACTCCAGGAACAGGAAGAAGAAAAGGGTGGGCTACAAGTACCGGACGGGTGTGTGTGGGTGTTTACACGTACACTTCAGTCAGGCCGCGTGAGCACAAGCCTGCCAGATGGCTGATCAAGCAACTTAGGGGCTTCTACCGCTGACACAAAAAGCCCCGAGTCCCGGTTCCGAGTCAGTCCCAGGTCAGCTTTTCGCAGCGAGAGGTGAAAGCACATTTGCAGAGCTCATCTATATCCGCGGAACATGCTCTTCTCGAAGACCTCCCTTGGAAGCTTCTTCTGCTGTGTGACCACGAAGCCCTGGGCCTCCAGGAAGTCCCGTATGCGCTTCCGGCCGAGAGAACGCAGCCCCTCATTCGCTGAGCGAATCTTTTTTGCGAGCTCCTCTATCTCCATGACTTCGAAACACAGTAACTTCTCATAGAACTTCCGGTCTCCACGGATCGTGTCTGCCAGAAGCTGCTCGGTCCTCTCAACCTTCGCCTTGTAGGCCTCGGCTTTGGAGACCTTGGCCTTGGCTTTGGCTTTGGCCTGCCTGGCGGTCTTTTGCCTGTCCTGCAGGCGCTGGGCCAAGGTCTTCCGTTTCTGAGCCTTAGCCTCGGGCTCTGCCGGAGGTTTAGGCGATCTTCCCCCAGTCAGCGATGCCCTCTCTGGCGCCGGCTTCTTGGGCGGCGCCGCCTTCTCCGGCGTCGACTTCTTGGGCGTCGCCTTCTCCGGTGTCGCTTTCTTGGGTGGCGCTCTGTCTGGCGTCGCCTTCTTCGGCGTAGGTTTCTTGGGTGTTGCCGTCCGGGGTGTTCCGTGATCGGGCGATGCCAGTCGTGGCCTGGCCTTTCTGGGTGTTGTCTCCGGCGAGGAAATCAAATGGCATCCCCGCTTGACTTTGGGAGTCGACCCTTGCGGGATCGGTATTTCCACGACGTCGCTGCTGTCGCTTCCATCACCCGCTTTGCTGAGCCGAGGCGTGGAAGGAAGGCCAGCTGCAAAAATCACGCTCAAAGGGAGATCTTCTTCGTCCTTCGGCGGCAATCTCTGTGGGTTTCCAGAAGGCGACTCAGCTGAAGTTAGATCCGCAACTTCTGTGAATAAAGCTGCTGAGCTGAAGCTGGTCCCAGATTCACGTGGCGAGGAAGGGAGCCGTGGAACCGGTGCATCCAAGACTGGAGGCACAGCTATGCCTGGCAATGGAAGCAAACATGGGCTTCTCCGCGACGGCTCGTCCTCATTGGAGCTGACATCAATCTCAGTAGCCGTGAGGCTGTCCTCTCCAAACTGTCTTTGGAAGATTCCATGCGCGGCCATGCAACTTTGCACCTGATTGAGTCCTCAGACTCCAAATACGCTTAGTGAGCCTACTGCACTGTTGACTACCTTTCGGTGGCATGCAGGCTTGTGAGGGCAATCGTCGTGGACCGATGTCTTGCTCAGCTATGTTCCTTTATGTGCCGCAGCGAGCAGTTTTTGGCGGTCGCAGTTCATGCCATGTTCCCTGATTCACACAAGGCTCCCCGTCGCTCAGCTGGAGCAATCTTGGGCAGCTGCGGTCCCTGTCGAAACATGCAACAACGAAGGCAACTCAGCACAGCATCAAACTCCCCACCCCTGCACAGCTCTCCATTCCTCCAGGCCGTTCCGAAGGCCGCCCATCTGACAGTGCAGGGCAGTGCGCTCTGCACAGCGCAGAAAGGCGTGCACATGCTTGCAGCTGCACGCTCTTTCACATAGCACGAAGCTGTATCTCTGCCAGGCCTTGAGGCCAAGTGCGTGGCGGCTCTCTGCAAGCTTTCGCAGCTGCTCACAAAAATCCTACAATCAAGGCATAGAGAATCTTTGATGTCAGGGACTCTTACGAAATGTGAAGCTGGCGCAAACAAAGAACAAACAGCTTCCTCAGCCCCGGGTCCTGTAAAGTCTGCTGATTGACGCAAGGCTCCTTTGTCAACGGATGGGATTTCCATGGACTTCCTAAACTGGGGTGCCAGCTTCGGGCACCCGTCTTCTTGTTAGTCTGTGAATGAGAAGAGGCTTCAACTTTCTTGCGCCCAAATTAGTGAAGATGGGAGCTGAAGCTCCGGGGTTCCGGGTCTTCAATAGCATGTGCAAAGACACGGGTGCCAATCGTTTTCGAGCCTTCCGAGCAGCAGTCCTCGGCCAAGCCACCAGCAGCGATGTGATCGCCCTGTGCTTGACCTTGAGAGCACTCCTCGCAACCTACTCTCCTGCATGGCCTGTAGTTACCGCAGGATCTCCGCCAAATGGAGAAAACATCGAGCTGCCTACAGTGTTCCTGCGTCTGCGACACATGACCGCTGGCACCCACCTCGCACAGTGCAGGTTGTGCTCGTGCATGAGCAGATACATACCAAATTGTTACGTACGTCCATCCATGCATGCACATATACAAGGTGCAGACTGTTTACTTCATGTGCATGTCCATAGTGCAGAGATATGGCATGTAACATGTCACCATAGGTATATAAAGTATGGCAAAGTTGCCGGTGCCAAGCCGGTAGTGGTGTAAATTACAAAGTGTTATCCTGCCTGGCAAGCTTCAGAGTGTCGCATCAGCACCTGCCAGGCAGGGTCAAGAAAGGACATTTGCAAGAAGCAAGATGTAGCCAATACTGGTTGCATGGGAATGTAAAAGAATTTTCTTCAGGCATCTGCAGGCGCCCTTTGCAGTTCAAGATGATGCAAATTGGACAGCAGGATACTCTCCGTGAGCACGGCTCCACAGCTGATTCTATCGTAGAGCAAGCCTCGAGGATATGAGCACGTGGGCCTCGGCAAGCTGAATCTGACAAGCTTTGGAGCAACATGCACGCGGTGGAGCAGATAGAAGCTCAGAAGGATGATGATTGATTTGTGGTCTGCTTCTGTGGCCGCTGCCGAAAGCTTCCAACTGTGGCGGCTCTCGAGTGGCCTATCCAAAGGGTGCTGGGCGAATTCATCGGAATCGCTGCCAAAAATCTCATTATAGTCGATCTCATGCGAGTCGCGGAAGCCGTGGGATCCCACCCTGGTTTGATCCACCTCGTGGTTGGCCTCCTTTGCCAGGCGTAGGAGCACGCGAGATGCCCGAACACGCACCTTCCCCAAGCCAATTCATGCAATTGCATGTCTGGATTGCGGCTCTCTCTCGCATGCACAGCTTAGGACTTGGTTGTAAACCCACCCACACTGCATCGGATGAACGAAGACTTGGTCGCTTGGCACGTCACTCATCAGTGAAACTTTGACATGCTTGGACATAAACGAACTTGATGGCACTGGCCTCCTCCCGAGTGACCTGCTGTGGAGGTGGCTCACCGGCGGCTGCGCCTCCCACGCCGCCTTCGACCATCTGCCCATCCTCGTCGCCCTGTGCTGGGGTCAGGGGGCGGGGAGGCAAAATTATTTCTGTGCAGCCCAAAGCATGAGAAACACACGGTGTTGCACTGTCGCTTATGCTGTCCGCCCCCAGACATTAGTATACATTAGTTGAGGCCCCGAATGATGTGCGACCTCGTGAATCACCCTCCTGGGTCGACTGGTTCACACTTAGTACGTAGTTACTCTATGACCACACATTTACAAGTGACACTATAAGTAAGTGAGACCTCTCGAGCTTCAAGACATCCTCCTGTTAGATACTGCTGACAATTCGAGGATACAGGAGGTACAGTATGGCCCACCCCACAGGCCAATCAAAAAACCGGGTATTTCCAAAGCACATCGTGGAGAACGCCCGAATGGCGAGTGGCCTGAACCAGGATAAGTCCTCAACTTTTGGACGGTACAACATTAAGCTTCGAGTTCCTGCCATGTCAACGCCTCCACAAGCTTCTGCAGCTGCGGCATCAAAGGAAGAAGGTCGTGGATTCTCGCGGAATCCTGCCAAGCGAGCGGATGGATGCAACAGGTATGACATGTGTTTCCAAGGATCAAAAACAACTGATCGAAAGTGTCGGCGTGGGGGGGCGCTAATGCGTCTGCTCCACTCGCTCCCGCTCCACCGTTCCACTCGCCCTGTACGCTACCTGTTCCACTCAGTCCTGTCGTCTTTAGAGCGAGTGGCGAGTGGCTCGAGTGGAGTGGCCCGAGTGGCGCGAGCAGCGCAAGTGGTGCGAGTGACAGGGGCGCGGGCGACTTAGTTCAAGCGTGCACTGCTTATGTGGCGCGGAGCTGCCGGAGCTGAGCCAGCGGTTGGACCCGGAATATTTAAGGTCTCGGGTTTGGGGGTTCGGGCTTCGGGTTTAGGCAGGTTAGGGTTTGGAGCCGGTGCAGGGTTTAAGTTCAGGGTGAAAACAGGGTCGGGGGGGAGATGGGGTGATGGTTTAGGATATAGGGCTTAGGGTTTAGGGAAAGCAGTTATACATACATACACACATACATATAGATAGATAGATAGATGAAGTTTATAATATAATGTGTATACGTATATACATGTACTGTATGCATATATTATATATGTACATAATATAACACCATCTAATCTAATCTAAACCCGAAGCCTCTAACTCTAACCCCAACCCCTCATTAAGCAGGCCCAAACCCAAAGCCCTAAACCCGAAGCCCTGCCGAAAACGGAATTAAGCCCTAAACCCACGCCGCGAGCCCTCTTGGGGCAAGACAAAAGGTAAAGGGTTTAGGAAGGTTTAGGGTTTAGTCTTTCGACACGGCAAGGCCCCACATAGTCCACCGTATCTCTACCAGGAGGGGCTCTGCAGCAGATACCCATGTAGACGTGTAGGACAGAGTAGATAATAACCCAAAACAGACGGCGATGACCAAAGATGCGGATATCTTGCTTCAGCCAAAGGCGGAGGCATTGCCCACTTTTTCAAAAGAATCAGGCATTGCTGGACACATCGAGTGAAGGTTTTGGGATGTTGAAGGTCTGGTCTTTAGTTTAGGGGCCAGCTGCTCCACTCGTTACGCTCGCTCCGCCGTTCCATTCGTGCCAGTCGTTTCACTAGAAGTGTGTTCCAACTCGTCCCTGTACTTTATACCTGTTCCACTCATTCCCTTCGCCCGCAGAGCGAGTGGAGTGGCGCGAGTGGCGCACGCGAATGGAGCGAGTAGCGCCTCCGAACGAATCAACCCTCTGAGACTGTCTGTGCTAGTGGCATTGACAATGGCAGTCGCAGTGGCAGCCTTCCCACCGCCCACCTCCAGTAACCTCTGTAGGGGACGTAACATAACTTGAGGTGAATTGTGACTAGTTGAACTCTTGAGGTTTGGAATGAACCTCGAACTTTCTTGGAATGCCTATACACTGCCAGCTGCTGCCCACGCTACCTATTCGTCTGCAGTTTCACGCCGGACAACACCTTACATGAAGGAGGTTTACATGCGGCGGCAATAGGGCCATGAGGGAAGTGGTTTCTGTAAGAACCACAGCATTACTTCTTTGTTACTGTTGTTAGCGCTTGCTGCATCTTACCTGGCAGGCATTTAGCCAACACTGTGCAAGGTATGAACGCTCCTTGTCTGTACACTGCTGTACGAAATGGTCGAGGATGGCGACCATACAAGCAGTCACCTTGGTTTGACATGGTTAGACTCTTGGAAGGAATGCCGCGCTCCTGTGTGCAGGCTACAACATGAGGCAACAGTGCACGGAACAAACGTACTGAGAGATGCGTCACTGTCAGTGCCGATCAGGTCTCCGACCGTGTCCACACCACCGTAATCGTCCTCAGGCTGCTTCTCAAGCCAGGACCAGGTCAGTGGCATCCTATTGGGATCCTGTAAGGACGCTCTGCGGGACATGCATCTTGTGTTCTTCAATGAACGAGCGGTTGTTCCTGTTGTTCCTGTACTCTTCGCTTCGTCACTTGGCAGCAGGCCTTTGCCTGGCAAGGACCAAGCAACATCTGCATCCGCGATAGCTCCTGTGGGTCGCATGTGCTCAGGGCAACGTTGGACAAAGGCACAAAAGCTGGTGGAGCCGGGTATTTGGCACTTTTGATGCTTAACACCCGTCAGGATACGGTATTGGTACGGGGGATCTATGGACTGCAAGCTCACTTGGGTTCTACCTGTATTGGTACGAGGAATCGATGGACTGCAAGCTCACTTGGGTTCTACCTGAAGTGGCAGCGCAGTGACATCATAGCATATCATGGCATAACTTTTCTTAAGCTGCTGTCATGGACAGCCGGCTCGATCGATACTTCTGCTTCTCTGCGGTCCGCAGGAGTCGTCGACATGCCAACGGCAAGGTCGGGGCCTTGCTGGAACAGATCTCGCCCAGCAGCTTCACCAAGGCTGGATCCTGGTTGAACATTGAATGGAGGAAGCCGCGATGCGATTTGATCTTAGCCCTCCGAGCCCTCCGCTCGCTGTGGAACTGGAAGCTTCGAGACCGCAGACTTCGAGTCGGCCGCAGAGTCGCTGACCGAAAACTGAGCCCGGCTGCCGGATGCTTCCAACATGATACAAAAATCAAAAGCTCTGAGCTGCATTGAGCCTCATTCTTGTCATCTGCCTTGGTCTTGCTGCCGCCTCAGTGGTGGGGTTGTACTGTTTCTTGAAGCCGTTGGCTGAGGGCCCAAACAGGAGATATCTACAACTGTGCATGCAGGCTTGTGCGACGAGAGTGCTCTATCTTCATTCGCTCTTACAAAAATCATTGGAAAGCCTTCTGCGAGTTCGTGACTTAGGCAAGAGACGGCAGGTCAGCATCGGCGTAGCCGACAGCCTGTGCCAAACTTGGAAGGAGCCCTCCTGGGCCCCCCACGCCGCAAACGCGATTCAAAGGAAGAATGCGACGCGGCCTCCTTGGCTTCTCGGGTGCCCGACGACTACAAGACCTCAACCTTCCGAAAGTCCTTTCCAAACGGAGGCTCTTGTTCTGCCCAAAAGGCCAGTTCAAGCTACGGTAGAAGGCGAAACCAATCGCGCCGAGTTTTCAAAGCTCTCAGAAGCGATCTCAAAATGAGCGGCGCCACGACTAGAAAAGTATATAAAGTGATCAGATATCCGTACTTCATCAGCTGGTGCCCAAAGCTTGGCCGCCGCAAGTAGTAGTAGTAGTAGTAGTAGTAGTAGTAGTAGTCGTAGTCGTAGTCGTAGTCGTAGTGATAGGAGTAGTAGTAGTAGTAGTAGTAGTAGTCGTAGTCGTAGTCGTAGTCGTAGTCGTAGTCGTAGCAGCAGCACTGACTAGTAGCAGTAGCAGGATTTTCAACATTATTAAGACCATTTTTAGGTTGTCGTTAGTAGAAGTAGTAGTATTAGCAGGAGGAGTAAGACTAGCAGTAGGAGTAGGAAGAGGAGTAGTAGGAGTACTGGTGCACCCATATGCGACTAAGTTGTTGCCTCGAAAAGCCGGGCCGTCTTTCGCGGAAAACCGACGACGATTTTGAAAAAAACTGACATGCACTGCGGCATTGCGCAATAGCGGTCTTGGGTGCACACCTGCAGTATCTATGTCCCTAGTCTACTACGTAAAATTTTACGAAAAAAAACTTTCGCGGATTTTAGCTCCTGTCGCGAATCTTTCGCGGACACACTGCTGCTTGATATCTTAAGACCGTATTTATAAATTCGAAAGCATGGGAAAGGCCCAAACTCCGGTAATGAGCCATGGCGATCAAACCCAGGCGCAGTCCCTGAAAGCTGAGGCAACAACTGATTCCTTTCGAAACGGTTCTGGCTCGGAGGCCTTGCTGGCAATCCACACTCCTTTCTCTTGCATTCTGTTACGCACCAGCCCGCACATGTCGTCGCTTCGTGCTGCGGCGTCAGAGTCTCTGGAAAAGCTGCAGGGGCCCGAAGTGCCCCTCCGGGGATTGCACGGGAAGGCTCGCCAAGGACTGAGGCTTCGCGAGGTCTCTGAGGGAGCCTCAGAGCACGGCAGCTTAAAGCATCTTAAAGCCAGATTATCAGAACCCTCGGATACCTCGAACTGAATCCAAAAAGCTGGTGGCTAGGCCAAGAAGTTGACCCAGGCTTCTCTTGGCTTCCAAAATGAAAAGCAATACTCTACAACATCAGCGCAGGCCTTTTTGCAAGTCATCCCTGGCTGCAGCAGCAAGGGCTGCTTCCTGCGCTTCGTACTGCCGCCCTCAAGTCTAACTTCAAGCAAGAAGGATCATGAACTGCGAGGCCCACACAAGGTGCACTTATCCATGCATCTTTGTTTTTGCAGTATCAGTGCCTCAGCAGCATCCAGCTCCGAGGGGAGAACGGCTAACGCCTGCCAACTGTGAATGACGCAAATAATCAGGCGGCAAATGCAGTTTCATGCAGTGTCTAGTTCCTTGTCTCTGAGTTTGACTTCACCGCGAAGGATCTCCGAAACAGCTGCATCTTGCTACTTGTCCGGGTGCAAGGCCATGCACACAGCCGCGATCATTAACATGCTCGGCTGCACCCGAAGACAAAAATCCCGAGTGTCGGCATCCAGGGCACCCTCGTAGCCTCGGCATCTCAGTTTCTAACGTAGCAGCGGCTCAAATCACTCGATGGGTGTGGGTGCTGCCACTAGGTTCATGTTGATGAAGCTTGCGAATTGCTGCGTGTCAAAATCTTCGAACGTCGTTGCTTCCAAAAGCTCTGCAAGGTTAATGAAAAATGAGGGTTCAACCTGCCGCACTCCGCATGAAGTGCCTAAACTAATTGCCTCTCGATCTTTGCAGATTGGATTAGATTACACTTAGAGTTTCACTTCTACTGGTATGCAGATCAGCAGATCTGCCGAGGCACCTCATTTGGAATTGTCTTCGGTGCGGCGCGGCAATGCACATGCCAACAACCCCGAGCTTCCGACGCACGATGGCACCGATGCACAAGGAAGCAAGGACCTCGGCCAAAGACGAGGCAGAACACAGTCGGCTGATGCTCTGTGCAGTTCGCAAGCAACAGGCAACAGCCTGCCACCCTTCCTGGACCTCCGGAGACAGGGTGTAGCATCGCACAGCTTTTTCAATAGTGTAAGAGCGCTCGCGCACCATGTCAGCAGGAAAAATGTCTTTTACAGAGAACTGGTCCCTGCTGAGAGTCGACGGCAAAAACGAGACCAGAAATTTGGCCTTCCGATTCGTTTGCATGCTCAGAGACCGACACCTGCCAAAGTATTCTTGACAAATGTAGCCTTGCGCTCCTCGATCTGGCCCTCGGCGGTCTTGATCTGTTCCTGCATGGACTGCTGAATCTTGGCCCTGAAGTCGGCGGCCTTCTTCTCACGCTCGGCTGCTTTGGCGGTCATCTGGTTCTCGATTGCAGCCTCGGTCTTCTCACGAGCATCAGCCAACTCCTTGGCCGCCTTCTCACGGGCCTCCTTGATCTCAGCGGTGTAGGCCACCTGCATCTCGTCCGCCTCAGCGAGCATGTCGGTGGCGTCGGAGAGAGTCTGCAAGAGCTTGGCGTTGCGCTCCTCCATCTCCTCGCTGACAGGAGCGTAGAACAAGGCATTGAGGACGGCCATTAGGAGGAGAAAGCTGCCGGCCACGAAGGGAAGCGTCAGGCCGAAATCGAACATGCCACCAGCATGGGCCGGAGCAGGCAGAGACGCCACCAAAGCTGCACCACCGGCTGTCAGCAATTGGTCCCTGGCCGGGGGAGTGCTTTGTGTGGGTGGCATGACGAAGCTGGGGAGGCTGCAGCAGGCGGCCACCAGCAGCAGCACTGCCAAACCCGAAGAGCGACGCTTGGTGACGAACATGGCGAGAATGTGAGATGCTCTGCCAACCCTCTAAGACACGATGCGCCAATGGTCCATGTGCCTGCATGACCCCACACAAGTCTCTGCTGTGGGCCAGTGCCGTCCGCATCAAACACTGGAAGAAAGCCCAACTGCAAGGCAACAGCATGCCAGCAGAACCAATGCACGCGCAGAGGCCCCTGCCCGAGCACCCAGGTCCACGGACTGGAGGAGGCGCCCAAGCAGCGCCAAGCCCCGAGTGGAAGAGGCTAGCGCAAGCCAGGGTCGTAGGGTGCTGCCCGACGCTTAAGCTGCAGATTACAAGGGTTCATGCAGCCCACCTCCTTGTACTCCAGCCAGAGCTGTAATCACCTCAGCCGAATGCAGCCCTGGTCCTGCCTCCAGCCCTTCGGGTCTCAGCCAAGCTCTTCAGCAAAACACCCACGCTGAGAGAGCGACCCCGCCGCAGCGCAATCCGTGCCAAAGCAACCATGCGCAAACCGCATGGAGCGAGGTGGACTGCAGGGGATGTTACTGAAGCTTGCTGCCGTTCTCCGTCGCAGATACAAGACCCTAAACCTACATATGCAACCCCTTCCCTGTCGTTGGCCTCCGCTGTGGTGAGACGCTTGAGGGCTTCAAGGGCTCCATCCTGCATGCGAGCAAGTGCAGGGCTGGCCCAGTCGACACAGCTGTGGAAGAGTGCTTGATGTCGGACCACCTGCTGGCAAAAGTAGAGCAGAGCTTCTCCGCGGCTCTCCTGCAGCCATGCTTGAGCGAAGCGGGCGCTGCAGTGTCTGATCATTTGCACATATTTGCACGTCATGTTCCACATCTTGCGCGGTGGACACTTGCAGGGCTCCTGAATTAGCCTTTTCAGGCAGTCAGTGGCCGCAAAACCTGTACCACAGGCTCCGTAAGTACAGGTACCGGCAGCTACGACAGCACCAGGTGTGGCTTCAAGATGTGTCGTACACAAGTCATGCGCTCTGTCACAAAGTATTCACTGGGACTGACTGCGGTCGGGCTAAGAGTGTTGCAACCATTTCTGTGGTTCTCGGAGGCCGCGGCTCCCGCGGCAACCTGCAAGCTTTCCCCGGCGGAACTTGCCAAGGACTGGATGTTGAAAGCAGCTTAAGCCTCAATCGAGACGGCTTGTGGGCCTGATCCTCCGTTGCGCGCCAAAGCAGCGCCAACAAGGCTCCGAACCTAGGTCTGGTTCGACGAGATGTGTCCGGTTCTCACTTTTCCTCTCCGATTCAACCTGTGACCGTCATCGCATTTGCATACATTCCGTGTCGAAACCGCTAAACGCATCGGTGGGACATGGTGTGACTTTGTCATGCATCGTGCTGCTGGTGCTGGCTTCCCTTCCCCCGATATGCGGCCAGGGCCCAAGCAGACCCGACTTCACGACATTCTGCCGAGCGGCGTCGTAACAAATAATCTTCATCCTCACTTGCGGACGGGGGTTGCTCGCTCTGCAAGACCTATATGAAACTGCTTTGTCGGAAACCGGGCCAGAAGAAACATGCCTATCAACTGTCCCGGGTTCCGCGCAAGATGAAACACAGTCGCATGCGGTTGAAAAGGCGCATCTGCAAAAGGCGCTGAGTCTGGTACCGAGCATCCAACATCCCAAACTATCTTGTCCTGGCCTGCAAGACTTGCTGTGCCTGCTGAGACGCAGAGGCAGCTGCCTGCGGTCGTCGCAGTGCTTAATCAACTTAGTCTTTCATCCACTGCATGCCCTTCCAACTATATCGAGGCCCGAGGCACAATCCAGTGAGTTGGAAAAGGTTTTAAGGGTGGCTCGGAGGGTGGCTGTGTGTGTGTGTGTGTGTCCAACTCTGTTTCCAAGAGACGTGAGTGAGTTAGGCAGCAGGGGGCCGGTGCTCTCCCCGGGGGTCACCGGCCAACGAAGACACCCCCAGGGAGGGGTGCAAACGTACCTGCAAATCAGTAACCCTAGAGCAAGATTCGTACGAGCTTCTGATTGCATGTTCTGACTTTCCCTTGCAGCTTCTGACTTTCCCTGACAGCTGCTGACTTTCCCTGACAGTATGCACCGACAGATCAGACCTGCGACACGATGTGTCAAGTGTGCTTCACAACGGCATTCCCTATGGGCGCCGTGTCTCCCAGAGGTAGCTCTGGCGCTGACTTTCCCGATTGACTGTATAAGCATTGGATGACTTTCCCTGATTCTATATCCGTGCTTGCAAGCTGACTTTCTCAGTGAGTCTTTCCCAAATGCCTTTGCCGAAACCTGAATGCTGACTTTCCCACTGACTTTCTATGATCTGATTGACTTTCCCGAATCTGACTTCACCGCTGACTTGTCGCAGGTCTTCGGCTGCAAGTTGAGTACATGAGCTGTACTTTTGGTAGTTGCTGATCAGTTTGCAAGTGCTGCAGTTTGAGACTTCGTTCAGCTTTGGCACCAGGTGTTACCTTGGTCAGTGACTCTGCGATCGGCAAGAGCAGTGCAAGTGAGTGCGTGTCGTCGTGCAAGTATTGTGCAAGTGTAAGTTTGGCAAACGTTTTTCTTCTGTGGTCAATGCGTGCATGCCTACATGCGTTCGGAGTGCGCATCTCGCTGCTTTACTGCATCGCAAGTGTCGTGCTAGTGCAAGCTTGAAAACGTTTTTCTTCCTTGGTGAGTGAGTGCATGCCTACATGCTTTCGGAGTGCGCATCTCTCTGCCTTACTGCATCGCTTGCTTGTAGCGTTTTGTTTGAACAGAAGCGAAGCTGGTGGAACGAGCTGTGGTTTCTGGTGGCCCGGTGGAGCATTGGAGCTGCTGGTGGTGGAGCTTTGGTTTCTGGTGGTCTGGTGGCGATCTGGACAAGTGAGTGCGCATTGTCATGCAAGTGCTGTGCAAGTGATTGCATCGTCATGCATGTGCTATGTACGTGAGTGCTTCCTGTCAGTAAGTTCGAAAGAGCAATGAGCCCGGGAGGGCTTGTGTGTGTCCACCCCTGTTTCGAAGGGTAGGTAAATCTGAGTCGAATGAGCAGGGGGCACTCGTCCGACTTTTCGTCAGACTTTGCAGTGTCCGACCAAGCTGGAGTGATTGGTTCAGTACATGGTTTTGCTTGCTTGTGCGACTCGTACACTGCAGTTTCGCGACATGAGTGCGGTTTGCATATGTTGCAATGCGTAAACTCTGCAGTTTCGTGACATGAGTGCGGTTTGCATATGTTGGAATGCGTAGACTCTGCAGTTTCGTGACAGGAGTGCGGCTCGCCTATGTTGGAATGCGTAGACTTCAGTTTCGTGTCATCGGTGCAGTTCGCCTATGTTGGAACGCGTAGACTCTGCAGTTTCGTGACACATGAGTGCGGTTCGCCGATGTTGGAATGCGTAGACTCTGCAGTTTCGTGACATGAGTGCAGTTCTCCGATGTTGGAATGCGTAGATTCTGCAGTTTCGTGACATGAGTGCGGTTCGCCGATGTTGGAATGCGTAGACTCTGCAGATTTGCGACATGAGTGTGGTTTGCTTATGTTGGAATGCGTAGACTCTCTGACATGAGTGTGGTTCGCCTATGGTGGAGCGCATAGACTCTGCAGTTTCGTAGACTATCTGCTTTGAGACGCTGCTGGAAATGATTGCTGAGAGTATTCCTGCCATGCAGCCCTATCCGATTGAATGACATAACGGAGAGTCTAGCAGTGCAGGTTTTCCGTGCAGCAAGTGTGAGCGCATACTCGTTTTGTAATGGCAGACGAGGTCATTGATTGCAGTCTCCTGTGCATGGACTTTCTGTAGAGTGATGGTGGATGCCCAATTGCTTTGCATCCTCGGTTTTGAACAATAACAAAGCCCAGCACGATGCTGTATATTGGCTCTACAAGCGTCTCAGACTCTGCAGTTTCGTGACATGAGTGCGGCTCGCCAATGTTGGAATGCGTAGACTTCAGTTTTGTGTCATCAGTGCGGTTCGCCTATGTTGGAATGCGTAGACTCTGCAGTTTCGTGACATATGAGTGCGGTTTGCCGATGTTGGAATGCGTAGACTCTGCAGTTTCGTGACATGAGTGCGGTTCGCCGATGTTGGAACGCGTAGTCTCTGCAGACTGGTGACATGAGTGTGGTTTGCCTATGTTGGAATGCGTAGGGCGTAGACTCTCTGACATGAGTGTGGTTCGCCTATGTTGGAATGCGTAGATTCTGCAGTTTCGTGACATGAGTGCGGTTCGCCGATGTTGGAATGCGTAGAGTCTGCAGTTTCGTGACGTGAGTGCGGTTCGCCGATGTTGGAATGCGTAGACTCTGCAGATTTGTGACATGAGTGCGGTTTGCTTATGTTGGAATGCGTAGACTCTCTGACATGAGTGTGGTTCGCCTATGTTGGAACGCATAGACTCTGCAGTCTCGTAGACTTTCTGCAGTTGCAAAGAAGAGTCTGTTTGCCAGTGCTGCTGCAAGTGTATTGCAAGGGATGTGCAAGGAACGCGCAAGTGATGTGCAAGGGATGTGCAAGGGTTATGCAAGTGATCTGCTGGCAGCATGTGTTGTGAATGTTTGCAGACACTGTTTTGATTCATGTCCTCAAGGCACTCTCCAGGTCTAAAAAGACTTGTAACGTACAGGTAGCTTCAAATTATGTCGGTGTCCAGCTTTGAGAGCGATGCTGTCTCTGTATCGGACGTGCACTCGTCCGACTTCTCGTCAGACTTTGCAGTGTCGGACCAAGAACATGATCGACGTGCAGCAAGGGACGTGCAAGTGATGTGCAGGGGATATGCAAGTGATGTGCAAGGGACGTCCGCGGAATACGCTTTGGTTTCTGGTGGTCTGGTGGCGATCTGGGTAAGTGAGTGCATATTGTCATGCACTTTCTCCGTCATTTCTTCGAGCCTGTCTCTGTAACTCTTCTTGTTCGCAGTCGTCTAATCAAATCATTTGATGACAACGACGACAACAATCCATAGACTCTGACTCTGCAGCTTTGTGACATGAGTGCGGTTCGCCTATGTTGGAATGCGTAGACCTTTCGGTTTTGTGACTTTAGTGCGGTTCGCCTATGTTGGAACGCAGTCAGTGTCGTGACATGAGTGCGGTTCGCCCATGTTGGAATGCGTAAACTTCAGTTTCGTGACATGAGTGCGGTTCGCCTAGGTTGGAATGCGTAGACCTTTCGGTTCCGTGACTTTAGTGCGGTTTGCCTATGTTGGAATGCGTAGATTCTCTGGCATGAGTGTGGTTCGCCTGTGTTGGAATGCATAGACTCTGCAGTGTCGTCAGTATTACTGATTGCCTGCAATGCTTCAACAGCAACACATGAGCGCTTGCACCTGTTCAGCTTTGCTTAGCAAGTGTCTGAGATGAAGTCCGAGTGCCTGTTGTGAGAATTAGTGAGCCCGATAGGGCTTGTGTGTGTCCAGCGACCTGGGTGTCTGCGTACACAGCTGGCGTGCCCCTAGTTTGTGTTGTGTGGACAAAACCAGGTTTTTCTCAGGTTCAGGTGACAAACTAAATGCTCCTTGTTTTTGCATGGTTGCCCCAATCTGCATGACTTCAGAGGTGATCTTGCAAGCGCTTTCAGTCATCTGTCTTGCAATGGGCCTGGAGACCTGTAACCTAGAGTGACAGCTTGCGCGCTTTCAGTCATCTGTCTTGCAATGAGCCTGGAGACCCGTAACCTAGAGTGACGGTTTGTATGCTTTCAGTCATCTGTCTTGCGATGCGCCTGGAGTTCCGTAACCTAGAACTTGAAATCTCTGAGCTGACTTATCAAGCTGGCTTCTCGAGCTGACTTGAGACCTGTGACACATTGTGTCAAGTGAGTGCTACCGTCATGCACAGTCTGTGACATCCAGCTATGTTCCAGTGGCACGTCCGGTGAAGGAGTCTGCGACATGTTCCAGTGGCATGTGCGTCATGCACAGTTTGTGATATTCAGCTAGGTTCCAGTGGCATGTGCGTCATGCGCAGTGTGTGACGTTCAGCTATGTTCCAGTGGCATGTGCCATGAATGAGTCTGCTATGTGCCAGTTGCATGTGCATCTAACTGACGCGTGACATGAGTGCGGTTTGCCTATGTTGGAATGCGTAGACTTCAGTTTCGTGACATGAGTGCGGTTCGCCTATGTTGGAATGCGTAGACTCCGCAGTTTTGTGACATGAGTGCGGGTTGCTTGTATTGGAATGCATAGACTCTCTGACATGAATGTGGTTCGCCTATGTTGGCATGCGTAGACTCTGCGGTTTCGTAGATTTTCCGCTTTCAGACGCTGGCATTTGTATGTCAACCGGTGTTTCGAGCGGCTACAATGTGCCCGGCAGGGCTTGTGTGTGTCCAACCCTGTTTCAACGGGTATGCAAATCTGAATCGAACGAGCAGGGGCGAGGGCCTGTTGTCTGGCTTCAGTATTTTAGAGAGTGTTTCTGAAGAGCATGTGCCGTGAATGAGTCTGTGACATGTTCCAGGGCATGTGCGACATGTTCCAGTGGCATGTGCAGTGAATGAGTCTGTGACACTCAACTGTTCCGGTGGCGACATGTTCCAGTGGCATGTACATCATGCAAAGTTTTTGACATTCAGCTATGTTCCAGTGACACGTGCGGTGAATGAGCCTGTGACATGTTCAGTGGAATGTGCGCTGACTGAGAATGATTTGTCAAGTGAGCTGTGGCAACTTCATGCTATTGGTTCACAGCATAAAAATCGGTGAGTGAGTGCATGCCTACATGCTGTCGGAGTGCGCATCTCCCTGCCTTACTGCGTTGCAGGCGCGTTCTTCAAGTGTGCTATGTTCATGTCGCTGAGGAACGCTATCGTTGTAAGCGAATCTCCCAAGGACAAGACGTTTTGATGAAAAAATCGGTGAGAAAAACAGCGCGCGACGACCATCAACACTCCACGGAGCCTTTCGGGGCTTGTGTGTGTCCAACTCTGTTTCCAAGAGACGTGAGTGAGTTAGGCAGCAGGGGGCCGGTGCTCTCCCTGGGGGTCACCGGCCAACGAAGACACCCCCAGGGAGGGGTGCAAACGTACCTGCAAATCAGTAACCCTAGAGCAAGATTCGTACGAGCTTCTGATTGCATGTTCTGACTTTCCCTTGCAGCTTCTGACTTTCCCTGACAGCTGCTGACTTTCCCTGACAGTATGCACCGACAGATCAGACCTGCGACACGATGTGTCAAGTGTGTGTTGGCTTGGATGCGCCTTGCCTCGGATGCTTCTGCTAAAGCGAAATTCGCCAACTCCTGGCATCAGAATCGGTTTGGCCGTCGCTACACTTTTAGACCTGCTCATGTCAGTGCTCCAACTGCAAGTAAGGAGCTAGCACGACTCGCTCAAGAATTTGGGGCAAATCGCCGATGCTGCAGTCAATCCCGCAAGACTCTCGCACACACACACTATGGCTCCTGATGCTTCCGAAAAGCTGCTGATTTTGAGTATCACAAGCAATTTGGCAATACCTGTGCCGACCTCAGAGGCAAACAGCAGTTATCATCCCATTGACTATGTCAATGTCGTGCTATGTGTCACGTTCTCACTATCGAACTCCGGTTCTCCTCGAGCACCGAGGAGTCGCAAAGGCGGAAGATCTCTACCTGTGAATCAACTACAACTCCTCAAACGTTTCCCCCCTTGGTAGAGTAGCTGATGTTGCTTTGCATTGTCGGTTTCTTTCCACCTGCTGGAACACTTAGTCAGCAAAGGTTAGCTGCCGTTTGGACGGAGCATTCAGCGCATGCCGACGCAACACGTGTACGGGGTGCTTTGGAAGAGACCTCAACCTCTTGTGGCCCGTCAAGACTCCTACCATCTCTACTACACATCCAACCGTTTTCCGCCTCTTTGTCCGCCACGGCCCTCTTTAGGGCCTCAGTTCCAGGAATGCGCTGCCGCAATGCGGGAGCAGAAAGAAGGAGAACACCGGCAAACTTGCTTGCTTGAGTCTGCTTGTCTTCGAGCTGGACTTCTGGCCTGGATCTCGAGTATGCACAGCCGTTCGAGCGCCAAGTAGCAGAAAGGCATTTGTCCGCCGCCGCATGTGTTGGCTGTCGGCAGAGAAACCTGCAGGAAGAGTGATCGTCAAGGTGAACCACCATCACGGAATTCGATATGCATGCTATATTTGCGTTTACTCTTTTTGGGGGAGCGTTTGTACCCATTGTACCCCCGGATGCTCGGCAAGACTCTTGCGCTAGCTGCTAGCTACAGGCTCAAACTCTTTCATCTCAGGGGCTCCACTGATGTCATCTGATGTCTGAGGTGTCCCCGCCTTGGCACCACTGCCGTCGCTTCGTCGGCATCCAGGAAAGCCCAAATCATGCCATCCTGCAATCAGACAAGTACAGTACATTTTAGGCATTCTTGTTCAACCCCCGTAGCTTAGCCCACGCAAATCCCGCATGTGAGTCATTCGCGCTTGCTTGCAAAAACGCTGGACAGCCACAAGCATGCACTGGCACCCGTCCTGGATGACAGCTGGGAGCATCAACAATGCTCTGAGATAGTCCTCCAAACTCGCACTACTCACGCAACATCACGTGGAGTGGCTCCTCAGCTTGCCTGAACTAGACTCTAACCTTAGAGTCTTAGAGCCTTGAAGCAGATCCCAGCAGGCGGCCCGGTCGAGCAGAAGGCTCCTCAAGCATCTGCCGCCGACGATCCACGAAGGCCTGGAAATGCTGCCGAGCGGTGCTGCAAGGAATGCGCTGACCGCAGGTTCTGCGCCTGGTCCCTGTTGCCGAAGAGCTTCTTCGGAGGGAGCTCGGGCCTGGGGCGGGGCTGCGATAGGAATGGCTGGTAGACTTGATCGCTTTGCCGACCTTTCTATGATTTTTGACGGCTCCTGATATTGAAATGTAGCGCGATGTGGTGCATGGACATCAGCTGCCTGAACGCCCAAACACACGAATATCCTCCAGCCGACTGCCACAGAAATTTGGGTTCAGGTACTCGAAGGTGGTCAATTCACACAGGACGGACGGATGCCCGACATTTTCGCAAGAATTGCCAGGACCCCGTCGAACTGTCGACAAATATGTTCCTTCATGCTTTTTGTGGACGTAGGTTGGGGCCAGTACAGCTTTCGAAAACACATTTCTTCATATCTCTTCGGCACTCGGGTCGAAAAAAGTCAAATCATCTTTGGTTGCGTGTAAATGGAAGCTGACCTCCGATCCGATGGTTTCGGTGTGATTCAGCAGAGCATCTCCGACTGAAACAGGGTTGGCCACTGTAAACAGTCACAGCACCGACCGGATGCCGAAGCTTCTCTGTTGAGTGCATGGTAGAAAGGATGAGCGCTGTAAAGAACACCATGCAAAGCCGGTCGTTCTTTCCGAAGCTGGCTACGAATCGGCTTCGAGAGACTTCGCAGTGTGGTTCCTTTACTGGAGGTGCTGACTGTGCTGGATCTAGATGGCTTGAACAGCCCAGCAATAGCAGGCCCTGCAGAATATTGCACAATTGCACAGCACATCGGGTGCTCCGACAGAGCGCATGCCAGTTCCTTCCGGCGGAGCTCCGCATGGAGCCAGGCGAACATAGTGTACCTGTGTCAGACAAACTCGAACAAGGACTGGAGCATAAGTCGGCTTTTTGAGTACGATCGTCTATCAGGTCTTGGAGCACTGAAGACAGTGTCAGGCGTGTTTTCCTGTGCTTGTTTGGGGTTGGGATAAACACGACTTAACTTCTGGTCTGCCAAGCTGGCTCTGTCATTGCAAGCAGCTTGTGGGCACAAGGGAGTTCAAGTTCACTCAGTTGGACAGCCCCACACACACACACAGGGGTGACAAGGGCCTGCGCGCTCGTGTGAACACCTTCCCGCAGTCGTCGACCTCGATGAGGTACTGGGTGTACCGAAGCCTCATTGAAGTTGGCTTTTGTCTTCAGTTCTGCGCCAAATGCTAGGCTCCAAAGCTTGCAGGTCTTGGGTCGAGCCCTGAGCACTGAGCACCCACGGACAGGCACGACAGCTACTCCGTGCATTTCGCATGCAGTACACACGGAAACCGATCAGTGGAAGTTGGAAAAAAGCGTGAGGGGACGGCTGGTGCCCGTGAGGAATCAGCACTTACGACTGACGAGTAACCCTGTCAAGAAGTTCTGGAGAATTGATGAAGCCTTTACTCCGTGACTGCAAACCAGGCGCCCGATGGTGCCACCGTTCATCTCAGCCTGTGGGATCTTGATGACCAGCGGGTACCTCCAAACAGCTGAGGGGAACTGCAATATAGAAACGGAAGCCATGAAGCAACAGGCCTCCCATAGGCGCCCAGAATGTCTCGGTCGATCCCGGGCCTGTCCATGCTGGAACCGCCTCCCAAAGGGATTGGATAAATCTCGGACGAGGACTTGGATTTATCCGTTGAGCTCTTAATACCAGTTGACTGCAAAGTTGTGTCATAACTTAGAAATTACCCTTGAAGCCTCCGGCGACACCCCTGGGGCTGATAGTAGAAACGATTCGAAAAGCTAGCCGGAACTCTTGATGGCTGTGGCCTCTGCTACGGCTACCCGGATCGGGTGTCGGCCGCCGTTCAGGAGCGACAGCAAGACTGATGCGTTGGCATTTCTGCTGTGTTGGCTGTTGTGGAGTTGGGGTGTGGTGGACCGTGTCCTGAGGACTCGGTCAAGGCTTGGCTTCCTCGGCTTTGCTGGCTGTGTCCATGCGGCCAAGCTTGAATGGCTGAGAATGGAGCAGCGCAGAGTCATGGTCCGAGCTCGTCCATGCTGTGCCCCCATGCCTAGCACCCACAGATTTACCCATGTGTACAGCCCACGCCGAGTAGCGCTTTACGAAGGAGAGCACCTTTGACGTCCAAAGCTCAACTGCCGCAGGCGAGACATATGCTTCAGGCTATGCGGCACTTATGGAGCCTTAAGCGAAGGACTCTGGAGGCCTTTCTACAAAGTCAAGTACTCTTTCAACTTCACACTGCTAGCTTATTCAAACCGGTGTATAAGATATATCCGTGCGTGTTTTGGATGGGAGAAATCTCGATCTACCCGCGACACAAATCCCGCTTTTTGTGTCATTTGTCTTTGGTGCATGCACCACAGCACGGGACTTAGGCGGGTAGCTCACGGCTGATGAGCTGGCTCATAGCATGCCCAAGAGCCTGCCAATGTAGTCTTTGTCGTGTCGAGGGTCTTCCAACTTCTGCCAAACTTATTATGCCGCCCGTCGCTGTCTAGTCTATCAGAAGCTAGGACGACACGTTCATGTATCTACTGCAGCTGTCATCCGCGTGCATCTCAGATCTGAGTCATGCTCAGATCTTCGGACTCGGAGGCAAGTTGAGGAGAAAGCCGCCATGCACTTGGCTGCCGCAACAGCAACAGCAACGACGACGCAACGATGATCGTGACTATGCGATAGTCAGATGCTCCTGCATACCAACTCCTATTGCTTTGATTGCTTTCCCGAAGGCAAAAACACGTTTCGTCATACATCCTAATTGTCCATGGCTCTGAGGACTCGGCCCAAGAAGCTTCGATCTGCAAGTCGTTGTGCAGGAGCTTCTTGACCACCAAAAGCCTAAGCCGGGCTGAGACTAGCCGGGCAAAGCCTCGCAAACCGGCTTCGTCTTGATGCGAAGGCGAATTTGAAGGCCCCGGCTCTTTGGCCTCTGGGAAGCCCAAGCCGTTGAGGAGGATGCGGGCCTCCGGCTGTGGCAGGCTCATGAGACGAAACCCAGCTTCCATGCGGTGAGCAACATGACATGGCACCTCGGACATGATCTGCACAGTAAATCGGAATCGCAATTCTTATTTCTTGGCCGTGACGACTGGCAAGATCATGCAAGAATCATGGCTTCGGTCTTTCCCAAGACTCGGAGCTGAGTTTTGCAAGTCGGTCAGGTACAAGCCCACGGCCTGGAATGTCAAGTCGAAGCAGAGCCAGATCAGCCGCTCCTGTGCAAAAGACGCACGGCATCGAGACCGGGGCACTGGCAAAGAAAGCAAGTGAGGCACCGTACTACAGTTCAAGGCAGACAACACATATGTGTAAATCTCGGAATTTGGGAGTCTCCGGATTCTGCAAGCCCGCCTTTGAGAGGCCGGGGAACTCTTGCGCCAACCTAGGCAGAGGTCACGTAGCTGAAGCAGTCACTTCAGCACTTTTCCGATTCTGTCTGAGGTTTCCCTTGACTCTTGTCACTGCCACGACTTCGGGCTGGGAGGATGCTGATGATGCATGCTGGGGTCTTCATGGTCTGGGAATCGGGATTGATACACCGGGTCTGCTGCACCCTGGATGCTAGCGGTATCGCGCTTTATAGGCCCTTATAGGCCAATCACGCTCCTGCTCTGTGCCAATGCCGCTGCTGCAAACATCCCACAGCATCAAGCTGAACGCTGGAGTCAGAAAGAAGCTCGGGGCTGTGCGCTTCGATTGACTGGGCTGCGGCCGAGCATGCACGATCTGGCCAGCGCGACAGCCGACGGAACCCTTTCCGCTGCATCTGAAAAGCTGCGCGCCTGCTTGCGCGGCGAAAGTGCCGGCCTGAACCGGTGCCGAGAGGACGCCAGGGGCGATGACGGATGCATCACGCCTGAGACGAAGGTCTCAAAAGGCCCTTCCCAGATGTTCCCCCACATGGTTCGAACATGGTGAACCGCGGAATGATTTGGAGCCCGCACATCCGGTCATAGAAATAAGACTTCAGGACCACGCGCTGTGAACCTGCGGGCGAGACCGGGGGTTTGGATTTCAGGATGCTTCAGGCAGTGTGTGGGTGGCTTGTGGGTGTTTGTTAGGAGCCAGTCACGGCTTCACCGCAGAAGACGTGCAAAAATAATAAATAGGTCATGAGGCGCCTCTTTTGCCGAATTCCTTTCTTAATGTCAGGTGAGACAATGAAGCATGACAGGAAGTGCTTGTCTCTAAGGGTTTAAGGAGTCAAGCTGTTTTGTGTAGACTGCCACAAATTAGTGGCGTGATCTCGCGCTGCAGCAGTGTGCATTTTTCGCATTACTGCCACAGCTTGATTGTAAGATAGTCGTCCTGCCGCTGTTTGATGAGTCTGCTGTAAACTGTGAAACATGAGCGACTTCATTGTTGATGAAGAGCTCCAAGCATCGTTTGCTCTTTGTCGACGTATATTTTGATGTCTTGAACTGGACGGTCATTCATAGTCGCCATCTTGCCGATACGGATCATCGTGCGCATGCCGCCAATGACCCTTCCGATAACACAGAACTTACCATCCAGAAACGGCAGCTCCCTAAGCGTGATGTAGAACTGGGATCCGATGGTGTCCTGGACTAGTTTCAGAACATGACGCCTACAGCCTGCATAGGCCTAGAATGCCTGGGTGGGGGATGCTTAGCACCTGAGAAAACCTGTCCTTGCCGTGACAACACATGCCCAGGAGACCGGGACGGTCGTGGGGCACGTGGAAGGACTCGTGCTTCAGCTGGCCACCGCCAGCTGCCTCGGAGTGCCTGCCCGAGCCATCGACGAGGTCTCCAGCCTGAACCCAGCAACCTGGCTTCACCCGGTGGATGGGGTGGCCATCAAACTTTGGGCTTGAGAGCAGCTGCATGAAATTCTTGGCCAGCTCTGGAGACTCTTCATCGAAGAGCTCAAGCTGGACGGTCTCTTTGGGCTCGTCTCCAATGGCGACTGTCAGTGCACAGTAGGATCGGCCCGTCTGCTCCTTGGTGGCCTTGATAGACTTGACTCCTGCACGCCTGTAGAGCGTGAAACTTGTGTTGTCCTCGTATTTGTATGTCAAAGCCGCCCAGTCCAAGAAGGTCTTCTCGCTGCGGAAGTACATGATTTTTTCCTCTGCCTCTGCGAAGATCAAGGGTGCGCTGGGCTTGGCTTGCGTGAAGCTTCCGCCATAGTTAGCCACCAAATGCTTCAAGTGCTGTTCGTACTGCGTCTCAAAGAAGCCTTCGACAGTGGCCTCCACAGTCTCCTGCTCGGAAGACAAGAAGTCCACCGCAGCCTTCAACTTCTGGAACGTCGGCTCCTGGATCTTCCCATACCTGGACTGCTGGACTCAGCTTAAAACATCTCTTATCCAAGAGATCCCTCACACCGCCCCGGAGTACATCTCATGACTCCAACGCATGCGGCGGCCGGCACTGCCTTCCTAGGCCGAGACACAGGAACAGGCGCACCGGCGCTGGCGGCTGCTTCTTTGCGGCCCGCTCTAGGGCCTCCCTCTTGGCCACCAGTCCAGCGGGTCCAGTCATGATTCGGCAAAGCGATCCAACTGGATTTCTTGGGCCGGAGATACGCCGCAAGTCTGGCATGTTGCTGTGAAACTGTACGAGCACAAGTCACAGGTGGCACTCACGTCAAGAAAGCTCGTATGTTCAGAGCCTGTGCCCGGGCCAGCCCAGACTCCGGCCTGAAGTCCACTGCAAACTGCTAGCCACTAGCCTTTGACTCCGAAGCCAGCGAAGTTTTGTTTTCTGACGAGGTCCGGACAAAGCTGCAGTTGCCGAAGGCGGGGTTGCCTGCAACAGGTTCAGGATGTTGTTTGAAGTGGGGCTGTTGGACCCAACTTGTGGTGGATGCGTGCTTACCGGTTCGCGACCTCCCACGGATCACGGAGTGACAGAGCTGCTAAGTGTCTGACTAGCTCTTCCCAGAAACTGCTCCTGCCAGGCCACAGAGCACGATTTTGTACCATCCTCTCCGACAGATGATGGCGACCCTATTCCGACCGTGCACAAGCCCTCAAGCACCCACGAGGGAGTTGTGAAAAATGCAGGGATCCTTGCGCCCCGGCTCTTGCAAGCATGGAAGATCTTTTCGCAGAAGGTAGTCCTAAGCGCTTTGCGGGTGTGTAAGAGTCCTAGACGAGGTCTGGGCAGCAAAAGGGTCTTGTTTGTTGTGGGGCAAACTGCCACATCTAAAAGATGCAGCAACCTTGCCCATAAACTCATAGCTTTTCCCCAGCTCCCCAAAGGGCATCCCCGAGGGATGGAAGTAAGACAAGTAAGGCAATGGCAACTAATTCGATGCACGCCGGCTTATCGAGAGCCTCGGAACAGGAACGGGAACGGCTGTCTCTGAGGGTTTCGAAGGATATAACAGTGCGCACTCGTTTGACGGTGGTTCACAGAAGTTCGCAACACATGCGAATTTCTGGGCGTCTGACTCCTTTGGCTTCGAGCTGCGTGCGATAATCACGCATGGATGCTTGGGCAGCATGGGGCAGGCCTTGCAAGATCGCGTGGCCAGCTTCGGAAGGAAGAAATCCCGAAAAGCAAGCAACGCCATCAACGGGGAGCCGGCAAGGATGTCTTTCCAGTGCAAACCCAGCCTGAGTTCGATCCCAAACAGCCCTGAATGAGGAAACAACTGCGCATCACCTCCCGGCTGCACTGCTGTACAACCAGTCTTCACCCCAAACCGATGGACTGGGACAGACTTGGGATGCCGAACACGGTAGGAAATCGGACATGCTCTCCACCGTTCCGGCTTTGAGCTGCATGCTGCGGCTCAGCTTAGCTCTTCCGTCCCTGCAGGCGCCTTCTCAGCGTATTTGAAGCTCTTCACTTTGGCCTCGAGAGCAGGAGGCACAAGGGCACGGTCGCGAGTGCCGGCCCAGCCCGACAAAGCTCGGCCAAAGGCAGTGATCAACCCATAGCCGATGTAGCTGTGCCTGGCGAACTCGCAGCTGTTCTGGCCACTTTCACGCACCCCGGCAATTGACTTAGCAGTGCCTGTCCATCAGCCACGCAGGTGTGCATGCAAGACCCTCTGAAACTCTGACTACACAGAACCTGCACATTTGTGCCAAGATCGATCGGACAACACCAGCATCCAAACGGTTGTTATTCATCATGAATGACATGGCCCGTCTCGCGAATGGTCCGAAAGCCCGGCCTGTAGACGTGGACATTTCCACCTGCCAGCTTGGCATGCAAGACCATCTTAGGTTTGAAAGGAGCCAATGAGCTGAGCATGGAGAAGCCCCAGCTGGATCACTCTATGATTCTATGAGCGTTTCCATCCCCTGAGCTGCCGGCTTCCGAAAGGCAAGTTGATTCTCTGGATGTAGGCGTCCAGCAGCTGCCTTTGCCAAACATCAGCACACCCACTAACCTGTCAAATCAGGTCCCGCACCGTTTCGCCCTGGAGACGTCGTGATCTGCCAGGTAGTAGGCCATCCTCAGTAAGAAACCCTTCCCTTTGACCATGAGCAGCAGAAGATCCCTTCAATAAAACTGACCTTTCCACCTACACTCGCACAGCCAGCCAACACACGATGCAAACGGATGGTCACACAGATCGGCACCCAAACTAATCCCAACCCAACCGAACCCAATGCAACCCTCATCTCATCCTAAGCGAAAACCAAGCCAACACTGACATTGAAACCTGTTGAACCCAAACTAACCTAACCAGCGTAAACGCTAAACCTATCCGAACACAAGCTACCAGCGACCAACCTAGCCTGTCCGAACCTAACTAGCGGTAGTGCCACCTCACCGCGCCTAACCGCTTGCAAAACACACCTAGCCTGATGTAACCTAACCTGGCTTTAAGTGAACCCGGTTATAGATATGAAGCCTCACCAATTGCAACCCGGCCTAACCTGAGGCAAGTACCTCACATGACTTAGTAAATCCATCGAACTGAATGCAGCCTAACCTAATCTAATCCGACTGTAGCCCAACCTATTGTAGCTCAGCCTGATCTAGTTGACCTTAACCTCACCTGGCCAAACCTCAACGTAACAGCTCTCGGCCTGAACTTTATGTTACAAGTATGTTACACGTGGTGTGGCCCAACATGACATAAGCTAGAGTAAAATACTGGAACACAACTAGAACTAAAGGTATTTGGCTGCCCTGAAGCGAGCTAAATTGACCTAAACTATTCAGGCCAAACCTCAGCCTTAGGATAACTCGACTTACGCATCCTCAATTGCAGGCAAAGGCCGCAACAAAGACTTTTTCCTAAATGTCCGTTAATTGCCCTAAATATTCATTGATTGCCGATGCGGATCCGCTGTGTTGTGCAACATTGTGAGGCGTGAACTTCTTTAGCTGAGCCGAGCCGGCTTGGTAACAGTGGTAGTTCACGCTCACCCACCCATGCGCTGGCTTTGCAGGCCAAAGCGTCTGCAGGGTCGCCCCCCCAAGGTCCATCACGGCCACCGGATCTCGGACCTTGGAATGCTCAGGCTGGAATTCTCGATCTTCCGACAGAAAGCCTGAGGGTTATACAAGGATCGCAACTTCTGCTCCCCTGTAAACCACCTAAAGCTTCCCTGCACTCAGCAACTCAGGGACTCAGGGGCACGAACACACACAGCAAACACTGTAGTCTATAGATGTCAATTGCTGAATCCCCTTGCCACCCATATATGACTTTGTCACTTGCGGAATGCTTGGTGGCTCGGCTCCTTGCCATCGCAGTGGAAGGGTTTTCACCCATCCCTAAAGTGCTATCGACAGCCGGAGCTTTGTGCTCGAGGCCCTGGCCCCTTGCATGCCAGGCTTGAAGACACTCATGAGCATGTTCACCGTGAGCCACTCCTGAGGCCAAGCCCCACTACGATTCCTAGAGCTCCTGAGTGGGACAAGTACACTCGCGGCTACTGGCGAAGCCGGCTATCAACAGCTTCTCTCAACTTGCAATCACAATTCGAGGTCTCTGGGATCCCTTTCCACTACCCTCCGAAAAGACCCCAGTGCCTGGGGCCTAAGCCTAAATTATCCCAAACCTACTTTCCTTGAACTCCGAACCGTTTCGCCAGGCGTCGGCGGCTGCCTCTGCATCCCCAGACATGGCTTGTACGCCACCGTCCTAGTTGACGCACAAGTGGGCCGTTGACACTTGAAAGCCGAGTTTTCGGGCTCAGGGCGCAACGAACTTGCCAAAACAACTACAAGCATGAGTATGAGCGGAACCGCTGGCGCCACATTGCTGTCCAGCGCCGTTCTTGCTACTGGTAGCAACAGGCGTGCCTTGAAGCCAGCATGGGACACAATGTGCTTCATCCCTTCCATGAGGTCTTGGACCTAGCAGCAGCCAAGTCACAAACGACACATTGGACTCATAACAGCTTCAGTTGTTCACGTTCAGTTTGCTGTGGTGCGACTGTCTTGGGCTGCGGTCATTTGTAAGGTTTGGCCAACGGAACGACCCTACATGTACATAAGGTCACGGTTGAGAAGATTGAGCGTGCAGCGCATGCGGTGTGCAGTATGCTAAGCCGCAATATTGTACGTGGCATTGCAACAGCCATCCAACGCCCCAATGTTTGTCCGCGGCGCCTGGTCCATGTCCAGTTGCTCAAGGGAGGTCGTCGCGCGTACAGACAGTGGTGTCACGCCTTCAGAGTTTCGATGCCATCTGTCTACAAACGGGACTGTAATCCTCAAAAATCGACTTGCTCTGCAGCGGTTCAGGAGCTCGGATTTCTAGTGATATTCGGGCAGTCGGGAGCAAGGCATTTCAAGCTCGGCTGTCAAGAGTTGCTTGTTTCATCAGGAACTGTCACGCAGAATGTCTCAAAGGCCGAGCCGTTTGCCCCTGGAAGCCTTCAGAACCCGCCGGACCCCGGGCATCCAAATCTTGGAAACGCGCAGAAGAAGCCAACATACAACTAGTGGAAATCAGCCGTCGATGGTATGATGAAGTTTCTTCACAACCATCGTCGGCATATGTGCAAAGAACTAGGTGGGTTGTCAGCTTCTTGTGATCTGAGCTGGATGTTGCAGCTCCTGCCACTCTGCATTGAAGGCTTTTGCCTCTACCAGCTGAAGCACTGCAGCCTCTTTGTGCGTGCGGCACCGCTGCCACCGCTGCATCCAACAGCCTGCACGAACTTCGAACAAAAAACAAGCTTCCGAAACCGGACCACCGCCCACGCGGCGATATTTCAAAGCTCGGCTATGTGGGATTGATACTGATGAACTCAACTCTGGTTTACACAGTCACCCAGGACAACGTGGCATTACGTGTCTTGTCCATTTCGGTCCATTTTCGTTTGCGAAGGTCTGCTGATTCATTGGCCTAACAACTGGGGACCAACCAAGTCTGAAAGGATCTCATCCATCCGCGAGACGATGCTCATGCTCGCATGCGAAAGGCTTTGCGATTTCGAAGCTTCAGATGCTTTTCAGCTGGAGAAGTTGAACCCCTCGTGATGGTAGGCTTGGCTGACTGATCCCCGAGCGGACTCGCGTGGCCTGACTGTCCCTGACTTTCCCCAGCCATGCATGGAAGCACAACATGAAGCAAGGCCTTTCCATCTGCTGCTGCAAAGCGCCTTGTCTCGCAGCTCTGCCCGAGAAACTGATCTCCGCGCAAGCAGCTTGCATCATAAACGAACGCAGCTGGGCTTTGAGCTGGCATTCTCAAACAGATCGCTGATGCCAGGCTCTTCCTCCAGAAAGACCTGCTCCGGACGAGTCTCGGCAACAGCCATAGCTAGCTAAAATGCCACAGCCACGGTGCATGCAGGTCCGAAGGCACTGGATACCATCGGTGACGCGAAGATTATGATTTGGGTAGTGGAGGAACAGTTGCTTCGAAGACCACTGAAGTAGAAGAGTGGCATTGCTGAGCTACAACAAATAACCATGAATCCTGCATCCCGAAGGCATGAGTCCTGAACAAGCTCATGCGCTCGCGTACGTCGTTCTCTTGACCACGCACGCATGTGCAGGAAGGCCGAGGCATAGGCCAGATGAGCAGCCTACACTATTTCCGAACAAAGGCATCGATACTAGTAGCTCGATGTATCTTCAGTTTTCGAATTACAAAAACCTGCAGGGATCATTGCGGACATTTCATTGGCCCATGACGGCTTCGGCGTAGTCCATCCACATTTAACAGGACCAGACGGTTCTACCTGCCGGAACTCTGAACAGGGGCCCCTTTGCACCTGAGCTCGGCCGTCGATGTCGAGGAGCTTCATGGTCCAAGCATCGAAGCGGAAGACATTCAGCCGTGTGCCGGCCGAGCCCGCATCGATCACCACACCTGAGGCGCAATAGAGCTTTTCTTGCTTCTTGCTGCTTTTCAAAGAGTGAACCGAAGAAAACACGTTTCGTTCGTGTCAGTGTGCGAAATAGCTTCGGAAGCCTCTACATTCTGGTGGGAGGTCAGGCTATCCCAACAGGGCGGCAGGCAGGAGTGGTAGTTCGCTGCTGCGGAGCACGAAGAGAAGACAGCTAGAGCATACTGACGGATCCAGATGCGAAAAGGAGGAACCATGATCGGAGCTTACAGCCAGCCAGAAGTATTGTGCCCTTCACGGTTCTTGAAAAGTTTTGCTCCAAAGGAGGAACCATGATCGGAGCTTACAGCCAGCCAGAAGTATTGTGCCCTTCACGGTTCTTGAAAAGTTTTGCTCCACGTCCCTATACTCAGTCATTTCCAGGCATACTGCCCGACATCACTACATATCTGAACTTTCAGCTTCATGCATTTGTGTGGCTGAAGGCCGAAGGCCCAAAACCACCAGCCAGAAAGCGCAGGACGATGAAAGAGGAGCTGGTCAAGAGCAGCACGGCGAAGCGCCTTCAATGCCGCACTCGCACGTCCCTAACTTCAACCTTGATAGGCCTTTCCCTGCTGCATATCTGCCCCAAATCTCATTGAGCTCTCTCCCGAGCTCAGAGTGTTCCACAAAACGGATTAACAAGCCAAGCACGTCCCGACTGCAAGATACTGGCAAGGCATGAGACTGGACTCTTTCAGGGAAACTCCCAGGTCCAAGCCACCTCGAGGAGCCGCCCACGCCGAAGCGCTCGGCGGAGACGGAGCAAACAAACAACAGAAGCCCGGCCATGTGGTAGCCTGGAGGGTGTCGTGAACTTCGGCCCTCTATGTACTCTGTTATTTGGTGTCTATGGTGCAGCCCAGCGACCGTTCCACGGCTTCCCGAAGACGAGAAACGACACGCAGATGGTCGTCACTTTTCCTTAGGTGAACCCATTGTGCCAAGAAGTGGAAAACTGTTCTGTGTGGCCCGATTCCTGCTCCAAAGACATGAACCCCGTCGCCGCCCTGTACTTTTGCTTTCAACTGAATCGATCTGCCTGAGCTTGGCACAAGGCTCCAACCGGCCCGTGTGCATTCAATGTCCGGAAGGTTGGTTCAATCGGCATACTACGACTACACATCAGGCACCATCAGGCTCTAAGCACATCTCAGCGTCGGCAGCTCTTGACAATCTCCGAGACCGTGGCCCCAAAGTGCTTGATGAGCAGCCTCAGCTATTGGACCAGGTGAAAACAATCTAAGCGGGCATCATGGCGACAGCTTCCACTTGCAAATATCTGAATAGTTACCTGCGACCTCCGTTCTGGATGGGCATTGGGCATGAGATGGTATGGGTGTCGGATGCGAATGAGGAGTCCAGTCTCCGTAGCGAGGCAGAGAAGTTTACACAGCCGCAACCCCACTCAATTCAGAAAAGACCGAGGTAATATGAAAGCCATTGCTGAAGTGGAACAGAACTCCGCTCTGCGCCACGTAGCCAAAGAGGGAGGCCTGCTCTCTGCACAGTAGCGAGCTGTACAGGATTTTCTTGCTTGACTTGTGAGACTCTTGTGAGCTGCAGCTCAACTTCTGTGCAGCCCAGGCACGAAAACAATCATTGGCACCTCAAAGGATTGCCAAATCTCTACAAACACCTTCACTACAAATCCCCCCTGCTCGGATTTCTAAGCGGGTCCTCTTGCATCTAGCTGTCCAACATGTCGTATCAAAGCTCCACTAGACTCTTTGTGATTCGACGAGCGTTTGGAGCGCCAGGGCACTGTCTCCCAATGGTCCGCAGAGTGACGTACAGCAGAAAGCAGCTCCCCCGTGAGCAGTGAAGCGATCACGGCCCACACCTCACTCCAAACTTTACTGCGTGCGTGTGCAGCATGCTTCTGCTTAGAGTTACTACTGACTCCCGCACGGCCACCTATTTTGGCTCTTCCGTGCGCCGGGTGGCACTGCCCAAAAGGTTGCTGAAGAGTACCACCTCGTTTGCCGAACAGCCCATCCTCAGATCAGAAGCTGCGACACGTCAAAAAGATTCGTGCATGAGGAAAGAGCTGAATGAAGCTTCGCCCATGCAGATGGACGCTCCCACAGAGGTTTCTGCTATGCGGTAACAGCAGCATTGCGGCAACTGGAGTTGATCATATTCTAACACTGCTGGTCCCTCCTTCATGTTCAGTCATTCAGTCCACCAGAGTTTGGGACCATGGGACTACCACGAAAGAACCCCCGGTCCGCGAAAGCCTCAGAAGATAAGGACTGTTTGTACGGAACTGGCATGCCAAGGATCTGGACGAAGAAACGCTTTTCCTCATAGCTGGCAGCCATCGCATCAGCCAAGGAACCAACGCAAATGAAAACGATGCCAACAGGGTCGAAAAGAGCTTTGCCTGACAAACTTCCGCAAGGATACTCTGTGTCTCTATACAACTCGCAACACTGCGCTTGCGTGCTCTTTTGAGAATACTTCTTCATATCACTGCATGAAAGCTGGTGCACAAACCGTCGCTGACAGTTCGGGCCTTTCGCATCCCCCAACGTAAAGACAATGACGCCTGCAGAATGGGCAAGAAATTTGCAAGTCACTGGCTTTAACGCTGAACTGATTCCCGGGCCCTGATTTGCAGGAGGCCGGACCGTACACAAAGCGTGTTGATACATGCCTGCCGTCAGCAGAACCACGGCCATATATTGAGAGACGGTGTACCGCTTCTTCCTCAGCTTGAAATGGGCTGCAGCAGCCAACACAAGCAAATGTACAAAATGCACCCAAGTGACAGGTACAGCACGCTCAGCACCATAACAGGGATGAGCTTGCTCGATTTGAACACAACCCGGAGAGGATAACTGAGATAGTGTAGACCTCAGCACGAACGGAGGTGCCTGATTTCTCACATTCTTTGGTGGACACACTTCTCGCGGCATTAATTTACACCTGGTGTAATGTAATTGCCTCAACTGCCAGGGAGCTGAAATTCGTGCAGTACATCCCGCCCATGGTCAGCAATGACAGCTTCAAGTAGTCATTGGCGGAACCGTGAAGTTGCCTCATTCACAAAGCTGGCAGTGCTGAGGGGCCCACTACTCGTCACTAAGAATCCAACCGGCTTCCAGACAAACTCATCGGTTCGAATGGCATCGGCACACTCCAGTGACCAACGTGAACAAAACATACAAAGCTGAAGGAGGAATTCTGCGGCTTTTGGGCTCCAGCACAAGGCATAAAGATACTTTATGCAACCTTCTTTCCAACCAAGCATGGCAGGATGTTCTATGGTAGTCACCTGTCGGCTTCGCAGCGTCGTTCGACAAGGGAGAAGCCGGTGTATGAAACGGAGGTGATAAGTGCCAGCCATCCTCCAAACTGACAGTATTCAGTGTGGTTCCCTGCACGGACAATGCAGATTTGCAAACCCTGGGAGGCTCCTGTGTACCGGAAGCCGGGAACATACAGCACGCGCTCTTGGAGGCCCGCCAGGCAAACGCTGCAGGACAAGACCTGCAAGACAGCGCTCATCCCTCTCCCAGCATGACGGAACGTAGCTGTCTCGGTAGCGTTCTGCGCGCACGCTCTCCTTGAATGTCTGACTCCCTAGGTCCTGTCACCTCACTCTTTGCTGGGATTACGCTCTTGCACCGGGACACAGCCTGGGGTCAGTTTTCAGGGTTCAGCTTTTGGATCAGGGCTTGCTTTCTGGCATTTCGTGCAGCTTCGAATGTAAAGAGCTGAAGCACCCGCCACCCTCCGCACCCTCCTTCACAATCTGGGCCCAGATGCAATGCTCGCCAGCAGGAAGAGCTGGCTCAGACTCTCGGCGCAAACGCGGTGCAGCGGAAGGCCCAGCAGCCACAAGCGGAGCTCCCTCAAAGGGCACGAGAAATAGTTTCGTAAAGGATTTGGGGTCTTTAGTGTCATGCTCGGGTGCAGGGCCGTGCCCCTGGGCGCCTCAACACCTTGAACTCAAGCTGTACCCAGGGCCCACAGCCCGCTCATGGACAAATCACGGCTTTGAAATCAGCCTTCTTGGGACTGAAGTCAACAAGAGCTGCAATCGGCTCGCATGTGGAGTGTCGTTTATTACTAGTAGAGTCCCTGCGCAACAAAGCCCCAAAACAGGCTCTCACTAACCTTTGAGAGCAGCCCCACGTACACTCGCCAAAACCCCAATGCAAACCTCACATGCTCGCGCAAAACCTCATTCACATCCGGTTGATTTTGACGCGCGGGGATGCTGGTCGCAGGTTGTGATTCCTGCATTCCAGGGGACTCAGCTTTTGATGAGACACCCTAGACTCCATCTCCAAAGCCTAAAACAGCACCGGCTTGCCCGGCACGTTGCGGCTTTTAAAAGACTAGGTCGCCCGGGTCTTCCCACAGGCTCTCGCTATCTGAGTCTGAGTCAGAGGAAGAACTGGAACTGGAACTGGAGGATGACCTTTGGCATTTGGAGGCGGTGAATGTCACATCCTCTTACGACTCCAAGTTCGAGGCCGCTTGACCCAGGCTGCTTGAACGAAACGATCCATGGTCATCCAAACGCATTGCAGCTTAGTAGCTCGTCGTCCATAAGAACCATAGCCTCCGAAGTTGATGCCTCTCAAAGTCTGCTATGCCGAACACGGGCTGCAAAGGCCTCGCTCGCCTGCCCATACCTGCCCGTCCTCGTGTGCTGCTGTACACATTAGCCTTGGCCCTCTGCACCCGATCTGACAGAATCCAGGCCTCCTGGGGTGCAGCGGCGCCTGGTGTGGCCAACCTTGGAGGGTCAAAGTCTTCTAGCTGAGTCTAAGTCCTAGACATGTTTGAAATGCATGCTGTTCAATTTGCTCTCTTCCATTCCACGTGGTTCCTGGCACATTGCTTTCAATTTCTTCTCCAAGATAGATTGCACCTGCAAAGAGTAAGGAAACTCCGTGCATCTCCGGGCGGAGAGGCCGATACGATAGGGTCAGAACACTGATGCTTCGATGCTCTGCTGCTGCTGCTGCTGCTGCGGCTGAAGCTGCCAGTAGCCGTAGCCGAACCGGGAACTTCTGATGGGCTCGATGCTTGTTGCGGGCGAAGACAGTGCATCCTCTCAAGCTTACGTTTCTAGTGACGGTTCGATAGAGGTGAACACGAAGATCCAACTGATGCCTTGCAGCAGAAGGCACTTTTCGTCACTGTCGCGCCGGCGAGCGTAAAGCTCATGCTTCGTCTTGGGATGCGCCGCTGTCAGGTGGACCTGACCCCATGTTGGTAGGTCAGGAGCTGGCACATGGCCCATTGGCATGCAGCCAATGCTCACCAGCTGGCAATGTGCACAATGCATTGTGAACATCATTAAAGCCGCTTTACCTACTCTGGGACTTCTCAGAGCCCGGAGGCCCAGCCCAAAAGCCTGGCCTCTTCACGGAAGTGTCTCTGGCGCTCCATCTCTCGGGCGATCCGGACAGCCTCTCACGACGTGCTTTCAACCCAAGAGGCTTGCGATCGATGCCGTGTGGAAGATGAGCAAAAACTAAGAAGTAACAACCACTGCAAATGAATCCTCTGCTCTTTCTGCGTAGACCTACCTCACAAACGCCTGTGGAAGACTGAAGCTCGGCTGGTCAAACAGACACACTGTTCTGATCCCGCAGATTCCCGGGGTCCGTTGCACCTCTGGTGCCAGGTCTTCACCTGTCAAGCCAGCCAGTTCCGAGGGCTGCAGCGACCCCTGGCAAACCTGCCAACACAAGCGGGGGTCACTGGATCCTGCACGAAGCATAAATCTTCCGACGAATGAGACTTCCAGTTTTCCCGGAAAGAGGCGGCCTTCTCAAGCAAGCGGCTCTCTGCCTTGCCGAGGTTTACGCTCAAGCCTTGCAGACTCAGACTTGCAGAGGGCTCAGTGATCTTCGGGCTCTGGGGCGACCTGCTTGAAAATTGACTGCAACACTGCTTGAGATGCTTGGGACTGGTAGAAACTACAAACCTCGCTCTGATCCAGGCGACAGAAAAAGCAATGACGCCCAAAGAAGCTTTCGGTCAAGATTCTGCGTGCCCGCTGCCGATATTCCTTCAGGTTCTGCCCAAACTTCTCGTACAAAGATGCTTCGATCCTCAGCTCGCTCTGTGTCCCTGACAAGAAGTTCATCTCTCGTAGATGGATTATCTGCAGCACATGTGGCAAGAAAGTGCCAAGGCACCGCCGACAGGTCTCTAAGTGCGCTTGGCCCAACTTCTGGCCTGCAGTGCGCATCAACATCCTTGGAAGTGCGAACACTCGCGAGGCGTGCGTGGCCCACCACTCAGTCAACCAAGCACAACACCTGCCGCTAAGAGTCCGGCTTATGCTAGTGCTTGTACGGAACTTATGAGGGCGGCCAAGGCTCCCCACGACGCGGCTGCGCAAATAGTCGCATTCCAAGCTGCCGTCACAACTGCCAGGCCCAGGCGAGGCCTCTCCGAATTATGAACCGAAGAAGCACGAAAACAACATCTCAAAGTTTCAATTGTCAGAGACAGCAGCGGCGATCTATCAGTGTGACACCTTGTGATCCACCTGGCTCCCGCGAGATGAAGCTTCGACGCAGGGTTTCTGAGCTCTTTCGCACTCAAATTTAAACTGGCGGCTGATATTATATGCACATGTCACGAAAATTGAAACCATGCTACGACGCACTATGCTATGTTGTTAATTATACAATAATAACGTATTAGTTTTATAGAGGGTATAATCTTCAGATGCACTTGGTAAGTCGGTTCCGGTCCTGCGAAGCCATAGACTTCGGTGGGGGCTGCTGCGCTTCCTTTGGCGCTTTCCGCTTCGGGGCCGGAGCGGAGGACCACTTCCTGATCGGGAAGCGTCTTTTCTTCTGAGAGTCAGGGGGATGCGGAGAGAGGCCCACCCAACCAAGTAGCCTAATTGCACTTCGGGGGCCGTTCTTTCCTGGCCTCTCTACACCTCTGAAAGGACAGCAACACAAGGGGGCAGCACCGACCCAACACTGCCTCTTTTCGCGGGTCCCTAGTCTCGCGCATTCGGGCTTGGAGCACTCCCAGTAAACGGCTCAAAAGGCCCAGGGGCCGGATGATGGCTGTGAGTCGACCTCCGACTGCAGGGCCCACAGCCCCAGCAGCCAGCATCACCTTACGCAGGAAGGATGATTTGAGTTCGGCCTGCAAGCAAAGCCCCGCTTGTACTACCACGATACCGTCGAAGTTACTTTGGTTCACCTCTGCTTCTCATGCACCCCAATGTACACCAATGCGACTCATATTTCTGGGACCATAACACCACTTGCACCATTGCGCAGGCCGGCGGCAGCAGCCTTAGGTGGACGTCCGAGCTCCCAACAATGGGGTTTACACGCTCAAGCGTTGCGCACTCTGAAACCTGGCGCTTCACACTTTATATTGCTGAAGACCTGACTTCTCCAATCGGGGCCCCGGTGAGCGAGTCGAGGGGCCGCCCGGCCAGCATTACAAAGCCTGGAATCCAAGGCTTCCATGGATGCCACGACGTCCTCAGCCGCCTTGCGTCCGGCTGAGCAGCTGTCAGCAGAGGGTGTCTGTGCCAGAGCCTCTACCGCTGCCTTCACCAGGCCCGTCAGCTCACTGTCACCTTTGAGCTTGGCACCCTTCATCTTTCCCAGGTCACGCCTGGACCGGTCGAGTGCAGCGCAGCGATCGAAGGGCTCGCGCTGAATTTTGCTGAGTCCATGCCAGGCTTCAGCCACTGCCTTGGCACTTCTCTCGAAGTTCAGAGGCGTGTCTTCGATGCCGGCGCGTGACAGCACGTCTTTCCGCTGGCTTGTCAGGAAGTACTGATAAGCACTTTTGGCATTGCCTCCTTCCTTTTTGCTCTTGTCCTTCTTCTTCTTTGCTTTTGCAACCTTCTTCGGAGAAGTTTTCTTCGTGATGCGACGATTGGGCTTTGAAGCCTTGGCTTCCTTCCGTCGCCCCATGGCATTAACGAGAAGCCCGATAAGCTCGCGGCTGCAGAGGTCCGAAGACAAGTCTTGCATTGATGGAGCTCGATCAGATGATCCCCACTCTATCGCTTCGTCTCTGGATTTTCGATCCCCGCATGCCGCATACCCCCCCTCTCTCGGAAGACACACCTTATATCCCGTGGCCTGTCGTCGGACGGGCTCTCCTCGTCGAGTCCCATCGCTGTCGGCCATGGCCCAGCACTCAAGGCTCCGAAGACGACAAATGCTTTGGAGTCTGTTGGGGCCGGGGTCTGTTTGACGACTCTGGTCGGTCGGTGGAACGTAGAGCTTACGCTTGGCACGCTGCAATTGCTGATGTCGTGAGAACCGTTGGAACGCTTGCGTGACTTATTAGCAATTGACTTTCAATGCTCAAGCACGGAGCTGAAATAGCCCGAAATGTGGTGAAGTTGCGTGTGTCCCTTGAGACATCTTGAGACGCTGAGATGTCACTTCCGGATAGGTGTGTGCAGCTGTCTTTTTTGAATCGTTGTCCGCGTTCTTGGTCGCTTCAACATCTTCTTCCTCGGGCAAAGTGAGACAACTGAGTTCGCAGGACCAGGTCCCGCATGGCATGAAAGAGCTACAAGAACCGAACCCTGTACCACAGCCACTCCCGCCCTGCCTCTACCTGTGGTGGCTCTTCGGTTGGTGAGGTCGGTGCCGCCAAGTCTTTGTAAAACTTGTTGTCCTGTCGAGATGCAAGCTGCCAAATCGCATCATGACGTTGCATTAACTTCCCGTGCACTTTCCTCCGCGACTTCATAGATCGGATCTGTCTTTGGATCAGGCTCGACAATTTCGTAGGGTGGCATTGTTCCTTAGACAATACAACATCTGAGCATCTTCATTACACGCAGTCTTGCAGTCTTAAGGGCCTTGACACGGGCCTAAGCGATTCATTGTGCCACTCGGGCCTGGGGCTTGGCAACATTGGGATGAGTCGAGATCTGTGTTAGCAGAAAGAAACAGGCAAAAAACACATCCTTTGTAGGAAGAAACATTGAGTCTGGCAAAACTTCGGGGCCGAAGGCTTCGCTTGCTGTGCAGCTCCAGCCCTAAAGCCCTCGACACCTGCACCTGAATCCCATGCTGTACTGCTACACCCAAAATGCAGTAGCAGCCGCCGTTTAGCCGCTCCAGAAGACCCGCGCAATCGGAACTTAGGTGCCGAAGGTGGAGCCTCTTTCCCAGCTCGCCTTGGTGCTTCGGGCAAGGAAATCTGTGCACAAAGCACAGAGGCAAGTCAGGGCCGCTAGGACGGCTCAGGTGCGGCTAGAACACCATAGGAGGCAGCCAGCGAGTTTATTGCCTGCAGAGTCACAACAAGAAGCACGTTCGTCAGAATAGACGGAAATCTTGGCACATCTTGGCACTATGCGAGATCTGCGAGACTTGTTGGAGGAACGAGTCTATCACAATGCTTTTGTGATTGCCGGCCTCAAGGGCGGAATGATCCAAGACCCTCGACTCGGCGAAATCAAGTATGACGTCGTCCGGATCCTGCAAGACCATGTAGTGTTCATCTTCCGACGGCTGCATCGCAACAAGCTAGATCTTCCATCTTTCGTTCCTCCCTGGCCCTTCCCCACCGGAGTGACTGACCGAGCTTGACTGAATTGCATAGCCAAGGATGGTTGGTTGGCTTAAACTTCAGTCCTCCTGCACTGCGAAGACATCCTTAATGGCTGCAGCATTCTGTCATGTGCCGAAAATTCTCCGGTAGTCAGCACGATCAGCTTGCCTATACCCCGCTACCAGTTCCAGTAAAGCTCTCCCGACCAAGCAAAGCAAACAGCAAACACACCCCAACGGTGTAGAAACGTTCGTATGCATGTATATGCATGTCCGTGCTTCAAACAGATTGCCAGAGAGAGCATAGGACTACAGAATACAGATGCCTGCGGAAGCACCCATGCACTGATGTCGGTGATCGCATAAACATCCACAGAGCCTCGTGCAAATGCAGAACAGTTCTGACGAAGCCTGGTCTGAAGTATAGGATCATTTATGCGTGGTTCTTGTGATGTGCGGGGCTCGGCTACAGCAGGTTAGATCGAGCATCCCTGGTGGCCCGCCACCTTGGAGACCAAAAACACGACAGCAGCCAAGTTTCTGAGAACTGCTGCGTACTCCCGAAGAAGAGCAGGCCCCGGAGTCGATACGTCTTCCAGCCGCCCTGGACCTGACAAAAAACCACAAATTTTCGCAGGGCTGTGGCGGTCAGGGTCGCGACGAAATCCACAGCATCCCTCAGCGAAAAGTACCAGTTCCACGAGAGTCTGTGAAGCCTGCTGCAAACTGAGCTGGGGTAGAAGAAGGGTTCCCGGGCATTGACTTCATGTTGTCATGGAGTCTGCAATGCGATTCTTCGCACCGTGCCTCTGTCTCAGCCCTCAGGTTGGTACTCTGCTGCCAGGAGAAGGCCAAAGCCTCAGGTATCTGAAGTGTCCGTTGCAGTGGGAGATTCAATAAGTGCGAATTACTACTGCAAGGCCTTGCCTTTCGATTGGGACTGCTTGGGCGAGACTGTCCGACTCGTACCCAGGATGCAGCGAATAAGGATCCCAGTGCCGGCATAGCAAACGCTTCAACATCCCGGCAGTGAACATGTCGCAAAGCGCTCTCATCAAAGCATGCTCCGCAGTCTGTGAAGAGCTCCCTGGGCCCGCTCTCCCATGAAGCCTTGGCCTGCAACTACCGACCGTCGATTCCGCCCCGGAGCGGAGAGAATTGTGCCGGCAACGACGGCCATTGCCAGATCCTTCACGACCGTGACCTCAGCAAAACTTCAGGGTTCATGGTCTGGAAAAGTCGTGGGAAAGCAAAAAAGGGCCTGCATCAAGTCACCATTGGCCCGACAAAAACTGCCCAGCCGCTAGGTTATGCTGGCCCTAGTATCGACGACAAAATGCAACATCACAGGTATCGTCGCCACAGTAGTGAGGACAGAAACCCATGAAACGTCAGCCAAGCTGCCAAGGACACCAGGACTATGACGGCTGCGTCAGAGCGGGGCACTTTTCCTTTCAAGGTTGCACTCAATTTGACAGCGGGTGCCAAACTACCCCACAGTGCGAGCTAAATCCTGCTATACTGGTCGTCATGTTGGCCTTGTGCCTGAGCTTGACGTCTTGAAACTACACCAGGAAGAAGCCAGTTTCAAGCCTTCGTGTCCCAAAGCTCTGCCCTGTTTTGGTCCGAGCAGCTCATGATGCGAAGGCTGGACCAAGCAAAGGTCGACTGACAAACCACAAACCTGCTCTGTCAACACGCTGACATGGTGTTTGAGAGACCCTGGCTGCGATTGAGAAAATGAGCAATATATAATATGATGCATCAGCCGCTGCATTCGCTAAAAAATCCTGCGCTTCTTGGGCGACGCCTTCATCTGGGGCATAGGCATCGATACTGTGCGGATCAGCTGAGGCACATGATGCCAACCAGGGCAGCAACCGGAACTTGCCCAAGCCTTGGCAGAGACAGGTGGTTGCACTCGCACTCGAAATGCAAGACAGTTCGTGCTTGTGAGTTTAGGCAGGGAAGCTGTGAAGTCAATCCCGTGCCACTGAGTAGATCCACGGCCAACGCATCTTCGTATTCTGATATTTCTCTCGCAAAACAGCCCCTGGTGGTCTGCAGATTCTCTCCAAAGGCGACACTGCTGCCTGCGAAGCTCTCTTGACATCAGATCAATGCAAGTGTGGATCGGGATACTTGGGGTGGATGGCAGCTAGGAAGTGGGCACCACTACTCATTCAACCACAGCTTTGCTTGACCTGGGCTTGTGCTCAAGTGGCTACCGTTTTGCCCCGTGGTGCGGACTGTCCATATTAAGCCTTATGTACTACACTGCCGAGTGTGCTGACTGCTAGCGGGGCCCATTTCCGCTTCAGAATTTCACGGCTTCTGCTTTCTGGAAGCAAAGTGAAAAGGAAGAAAAACCAACGCGCAGCTGCCCCCAGCAAGCTTTTCGGAGAGCAATGAACTCTGCACACAAACCTTTCCATCGGGGCTTGCAGGAGACTGGCTGCATGGCCTGCCATTTATGCTGACACTCCTATTAGGAGTTTACATGACAGATCTGATGCAGCATCATGAAGCCGACTTTCCGGATTCGCCAAATGGTCTGCTATCCTCAGGACATAGTTCAGTACATGTGGGCTAGCATACGGCATAGGCATTGCCTGGGAACTGACTGACGACCATTTGGCTTCAGGAGCAGGCATTGAGTCCAGCATTGTAACCATGTCCATGGGAAGTCCGTCTTGTACACAGTATCTTCCGCGAAGATATGGAAGGCCGGGAAAACCGAGCAGGACAGTGGGACTTTATGATCAATGCTGCGACTCGGCAGGAGGGGACTGCAGGAACCTTGCTGTCTACACGTGCAGCGGAGCTTCTGACTCCGGCAACCAGTCTGACTGGTGGCACCAGAAGATCCGCTCTAAGCACAAGTATCATTGGGAAAATTATTTGCACGATTGGCAAAAAGAGTTTCTGATCAAGTGGCTGAGCGGGACGTATCGCTGTTGCTGGGACTATCCACTGCTTGTAGCGGATTGGCGCTTATCATTGTTATCATGCCTCAATCTCGATGGGACCATGGCGGCCATGGACCGGCACTCGCAGAATCATGCCCGTGAAATCGTCCCAGCAATGTTGCGAAGGAAAATCAGTGAACATACCTTCAAGCGCTCGGGGCCTTGGGATGTGCAGCCTCAAAACGCATGGGAGATGTGCACAGACGGTAGAATGTCAAGTTGTTTCCCAGCGTCTTTGACGATCTGATGATCGCTGTTGAGTGTGCAAGGGAGCCTTTTCAGCTCCGCAGATTTGCGCATGGATCGGAAAGGCCCTGGGAATATAGTAGGCAGTGCAAATTCCCGCAAGCCCACTGTGTCACTAGCGGCCATCATTATGATGCAAATGCCGCAAACTGTTGCTTGTCGTGGAATGGAGCTTTGCGATGATTGCTTGACATCCATAACCTTGACATTGAAAGCGCATCCTTAGAATCGTGGGCTGATCAGACCCTCGATAAGTGAGACAACTCCGTTGCAGTCACGATCTTGATGTTGCAGCGCAACATGTCCAACGCCTTCCGGCTGTTTGATGCTTCGGCAAGCTCCATGGCCGTGCGACCCCGAGAGGTCTTTCTTGATGGATCTGCACCGGCTGCGAGAAGAATCCGGATCATCTCATTATCGTTCTGTCGTGCAGCGATGTGAATTGGGTAGAACCGTTCCTTGAAAGAGAAGCATCCGCACTGCTCTGGTTCGTCCACATCCCGGAATCGATGCTCCCTCAAAAAGTCCTCAAGCTGCACCCTGCGGAGGAGGCGCAAATTACGCCTCTTGAAGGCTCCAGCTTTCTCTTGGGAAGGCACATAATGCTGCACATCCTGGAGCGTGTGTCCATCCGTCGTCTCAGTCGTCGCAGCAGCAGCCGGTTTTGTGCCCTTGTTGATCTCGACTTGGCCAGGTAGCATGTTTTGCATGTTAGACAGCATTCCTATCTACAGTCACTTGGCTCGCGCCCAGGGTTGGCACGGCCTCTTGGGCCAGTAAAGAAAAATTAACATTAACATTGCAAGCTTCACATGATTCAACAACCCGAAGGTCCGCGGACTTGCCATGCACGCTTGACCACTTGATCCGCCTCAACCTGCAAAATAGATGGATGACATCGTTGGTGCATCTGGGGGCTTGGCACTGGTGCAGCTGCAGCAATGCCCACGCCCAGAAAGGATGCCATTGAAATCCCTGCAGCGTGTCAATTCAGCAGGGTGGAAACATGTAAAAGCGGCGTTGCTGCTGCTACTGACGATGACTGCGCCGCTGCTGTCTGCTTCTGACGTTGGTGGTGGGGATGGTGACAATCATCGAGGATAAGGTCGTGTTTACAAAGCCCACCATGCCGAGCAAGACCAAACTTTCGCTTTCAGCTACGGATCTGGCGTGCCCTTTGTGGTGGTAGCGATCCGTACCCCAACAAAGCTCGTGATGAGAAGAGGTGCACTTTATGAGCCCGGAAGTGCATGCAGTGTCCGTGCGGGACTATGTGCTGATCAAAACAACCCAAAACAGCAATTGACAAGCACGCGGGTCTTCCCAGTGCAACTCACTGTCCTGCAAGTTTTTCTGAAGGCTCCACGTTGGGGATTCGAGAAAGACATAAGGAATTATCCGTTAGAAAGTATTCGGGCCCTGATCCAATCATGATGAGCTTGACTAGTCACTGATGGTCACTGATTTCCTTTGCCTGCAAGCCGCGAGGTGGCGCCAGCTTGAACGTTCACCTGCAAATTTGACGTGTCACACCCAAAGCAAGATGCAGCTTTCGGGTGAATAGGTCCAGTCCGCTACATGGGACCAAAGCACATATTGACCACACCGGGATTTCGAAAGGCACAGCTCTCTCTGAGTAACAGCGAGCCATCATCAACCTCCTCTCGTGTGACACCTTGCATTCCATGTGCGAGACCGTCTGTCCGAGAACTACTACACTTTACATGCAACACTACTGAAGTGAGGCCTTTCATTCGTTGTTGCTGTATGCGTCTTGCGCGGTCCCTCATCGCTTCTCCTTCGTTGTTGTCGTACTGCTGGCTTGGAACCAGCAGCCTCCAATATTTTGAATGACTTGCACACAACTGATAGCTCTCGCATCAACGATTAGCTCGCTGTAAAACCGAGAAGGTTCGGCTGCGGCCTGGGTTTGCCCGATCATGGCGCAGCCCCCCATGCCGCCAGTGAGGCCGCTGGCGATGTTTCCCAGCCCTTGGCCGATGCACTCCTGCACTGAGCTGCGCAATGTGCGAGGCGACGGGTGATTTACTTCAAACTTCAGAGTTTCTCGTGCCATGCTGCGACTCTGATTACCAGTTCTGCCGGAGCTGCCATCGCCACTACTGGTGCTACCACAGCACTGTCACTACTGCAGCTCTCTTCCGACGAGCTACAACGAATTCCTCCTTGTCAGATTGCTGTGCAGATTACGGTGGTCAAGTCAATCCTCACACGTCTTATCTTCTTCTCATCTTCTGCATTGACTTCTGCGCCAAAGACTCGGAGTTCCGACGCCCGCTCCTTGGAGGTGTCGCCTCTCTTCCCATCCTACGCAGGGAGCAGCGCTTCTCTTTGAAAAACCCAAAGCCTGAGAGATCTGACGAGCTTCAGGCTCACGGCAGCCATGTAACTAGTCAGGAAGACCGAAGAGTGACATAGTACGAGCTGCAGAACGCTGTCCCCTCATGAAAGCCACTCTGGATTGCGAGAACAGCAAAGTTTGTCAAGCTTAAAATCGGGGGTGTCTTCCAAAGCTGAAACCCTGAGAGGAGGTTTCCCGAAAGTACGGTCTCGGACTCGACAGCCTTCACTGATTCTATAGCTTTCTACATGCGGCAATTGCAGAGTCCAGAAGTGTCGAGAATCGGGTAGACACAAAGCCCCTTTCAGTCGAAACTTGCATCATCTTCGGAATGAAAAGCTATGTTTCAGATTGAACCCATTAATGCACAAGCCAGTGAGCCCTTGCTTTGCATGGCAGCTGAATGATCGCGAGCCCAACTTCGACCTCAACCTTTCGGATCCTATGTCTACTGCAGACGGCCACGAGCCTCCATGATCCCATCGACAAGCTGAAGCGTCAGCAAAGACTCCACCAGGCCTGGCACAAAGCGTGAGCCTCGACATCCGCTCCGAGAATTCCTGACAAGCCCTGCCTACAGCAGCCATAGTTGCCGCATAGGGCAACAGAATGCTGAAAGTCTGAAAAGGATTGGCCAACCATGGTACCTGGAAGCGCCAGAGTCTGGAGGCTTTCTTCTTGCTCATCGGGATAGGGAGGTAAACCAATTTCGGGGCCGTCCTCCCCCCCCACCCACAGGAGCAGTCAACATCCGCTTGGGGCAACCTGACCACCGGCTAAGTGGACAGGGTGCCGCTGGCAGCCCCAGGTGTGGCAGCATGGAGAAGCCTCGCCAAAGGCAACATCACTAGCATGGGATTGCCGCATGGGAGCAAGCGGACTACGAGAGCCGAACGGAAAAGCACAGAACCGATTCCTGACAAAGGGTCTTCAAAACAACTGAATCTGCTGCAAGTAAAAACGCCACTGCTGAGCCACGCAACGAACCCATCCATCCACCCACTCACAAACGCACCCGTTGCGGTATCCCAGTCCATTTGTGCCCCGGCACCAGCCGCCTGATTCCTCCTTCCGGTCTTCCAAACTGATCACAAAATGCCTGTAAATCAAGGCCGAAGACCAAACTCCGTAGACCGTCACAAGCAGCTACTCCACGATAGCTGTCGCCCCATTGCCCGGCATTGAATCACTCTTTTTGAAAGATAATTACTTTGGCTCCTTTGCAGCAACCGGGATTGAATGATTGGAAAGGTCAAGCAAAATGAGTAGCCTCCGCGAAAAGTTTCTGCTCCGGCCATATCCATCAATGTCGTGGCTGGCCTCAGCAGATGCAGGTGAGAGCTTCATGGGTGGAGCTGTGTAGAGCTGATGGCTGATGCTGGCTCCACTCCCGACGCCAAAGTTTGAAAACTGTGCAGACAAGCAGCAGGTGACAAACCTGGAGGGTTCAGCGCTGAAATTTGCTGTAGCGAGCTCTGGCCAAGCACTCAAACAGGAGGGAACACAGCTGTAAACTCGAAATTTCTTTAAGTTCAAGAACCAGGGACCTTGGTGATCAGTGTGACAATGGCCACGGTCATCAGAGACGATGGCACGGCGGTCGTCACACGAGGGAGCAGCTTCACCTTCGCGTGTCAGGCAGGACTTTAAGAATACTTTGAGATGCCGGCATAACAACTGCAGTGTCCTAAAGTCCAGGCTACTCAAACCAAGCCCCAATCCAACCATCCCTCCTTCTGGCATGCTCACATTCATGAAATCACATGGTTCCATCTGCTGCTGCTACTGTTGCCACCGATGCATCCCAGGCAAGAGCCTATTTTCATGTACTTTGTGCAGCTGCTTTGCAAGCAGCATCGACAACGCCGTCAGTCCAAACATCGTGGCTCCTGGCAAGTAGGATCCGTGCAACCAAAACCCCAGCTGCACATCTGCAAGTTGACGAGGACAAGCCACTTCTGCGAGCCTCGCAAGCCGGTCAGTATGGAGCCGGTGGCCGGGTCCAAGAAATGGGTCAGCTGCCTTTGCAAAGGCGAGACACGTGAAGAGACACCCCCCACCGGGCCCTGGCCTTTGGATGCCTCTGGCCTCTGGCTTCACCCATCAAAGGTTCATGCGGCCGAGCAGCGCCTTCCCAATAACAATGGCCAAGCCGTTCACGAATCCTGAACGCGGACATTGTAAGGTCGAATCTACCGACAATTGTGACAAAGGGATACAAGTAGCCACAAGCTGCTGAGGATCTGGGAAACCACAAAGTCGCCTGCTACACACACAAGTGCCATCGCACGCACCTGCGCGCTTTCGCCACGAGCTGCACCCATCACACCACCCGCCGAAGCATCCGCAAACCAACAGCATCACTGCCAACGAATGATGCTGCAATGCAGGTGTTCAGTGCAAGGCACGCAACAACACTTGCGTCATCGCTCGTTCATTTGCAGTAGATGGCGTCTCCAGTTGCGGTTGAGCGGCCCAGCATGACTGGATGTGGCACCAATTTGATGAACTTCCCCCATTGCAGGACACCTGTCAGGGCTGAAAATCACCGGAGAGAGGTCAGCACATACAGGTAAACACAACAAAAACGGTGGGCGAGCCCTTCGCACATGTAGCCGTGAGTTCCGACTCAACGCAGTCATAGCAAAACCGTTCCCCGCAATCTCATCGTAGGTGAATTTGAGCAGTCTGCCGAGTCGATTCCCGATGTTCAGTGTTCAGAAGAACTCTGCTCTCCTCCCCCGTGTATCTGCTCATTATGCACCTGGGCATGGACTTATCAAACCATTGGTGAGCATACCGTGATGAGGAAGGGGCGTATGTCCGGCGAAGTTCAAGGTGGCGGAAAGCCCTTTGCCAATTGAAGAGCTAGTACGTGAGAAGGCATCATCCAATGTTTGCTCACTGCTGCCCGCCATCAGAACCGATGTCGCATGTCACTAACACGTGCAACTTAAGCCTTCTTTTCCTCACTCCACAAATACAACCGTCCAAGCCCTCAACCCTTAACCCTTGAATTAGAGTGCGACCTCTTCCCCCAGTGAGCACGCTACGTCTTTGGTAGTTCCCTTCAGTTGTTGAATAAAAAACAGGGTCGGCTTCTCTGTCGATATGCTTTCGAAGCACGGCACTCACCCAGTGAACTCCTGATCCCTTGCCTGCCATAATCTGCAGGCCGCCTGCAAGAAGAACGGCAGCGCTCCTTCGGAAGTACAAGCGGCGCTGCTGCTGCGTGAACCCCTTGCCTGTAGCCTCTCCGGATGATCGGCCAAGTCTCAGGTACGTCGTTCCATGTCGGGCGACGAGTGCTGCCATGACCACCTCGGCACCATGCCCCGTTGCCTCGAAACCTGCTAGAGT